ATTTAGTTAGAGCAGCACTGGTAATAACATTTCATAGCATGGGTCGTGAGTCATCAACCACAACAATACAAAGTTTGTAAATGTCGGATCCCCTAAAATGTCTCCACCCCAGTTTATTTCACCTAAAGATTAACCATCCGAACACTAGACTAACCTCACCCTACCCCCATAGCGTTCGGGTGGTTAACCTTAGATGAAATAAGCTGGGGTGAAGATTCTTTCGGTGATCCTAAATATCTACTTAAAGTCACGTTCCACGTTAAACAGGTACAGTAGGTTGTGCCGGCCACTGTCAGGTCGGTGTTAACCAATGTATGATTCCACAAGAACAATATCAGAAAACATTAAACATATTCTTCTTAAGGTTTACGTCTTCTGGCTTGATGAAAAACTGTAGCAGATTATGAGAAAGAGCCACTGAGGGAGGGAGGGAGGAGCTGTAGGTTGCTCGTCTTCCTACCCTTACACAACTTACGACCCCTCGTGAACCAGCTGAAGCCTGCACTTTCATCTCCCCTACCCACTGTGTACTGAGATCGAGCTTGAATGTAGTGTATTTGGCAGTTATATTTTCCCTCACAGAGTAACTATCATGAACACCTCTCCTAATCTATCACAGTAAAAAAAAATCGAGTCAATATGCTGTTGCAACAGTTATGTCCACCGTTCAGCTGAGTGAGTCATGAGAAGTATGATGTGGACTTGGAAATAAATGATGAGTCACTGGGAAGATGTGAGGTGTACTGTAGGGTGTGGGTGTCCGCCTGGGAGGCAGCATGAACGTTGTAGGCCAAGAAAAACCACGAATTTTTCCCCTAGACGGTACAACAAGGGAACTGCTGATACTAGCATACGTGAGTGGTTCAGTGTGACGCCACTTAGTAACATTTACGTAATACCAAATACCCCGAGAACAACACAACCAGCAACATGTCTTCCTCTAACTAGCGTATTGTAACGTAACTTAACCAAAGTGAAGTTAGTTCATAATAGACACACCAACAACTTAATAGGGCTATCACGATGATAGAAGCCGCCAAGTACGTTCAGGTTAATAACACAAATTTGTAATTTCCTTCATAAAACAAAAGTCCCATCAAACCCATGGTAGAGAGAGAGGAGCGAGGGAGGGACAGGTGGGGGCAGTGTGGTCATGAAAAGTATGGACTCCTAGGAATCCGAGGTAACTTAAATCATGGGATCATGTTTACTACCACTATCGTCTGAGAGCTTGGCTAGGGAAGCCAAGGATGGGAATATATCCAGGGATCACTTTACGATAGCATACAGTTATTTAAATAAATTCCATCTTAATCATATAGGCTAATTCAAACTTTTTCATCGGTTCTAACACGATATAAACTTGACATATATATGTATGTTCTTTGTCTAGTTGATTCGTCATAAAGCTATTACCACACACGTATCTCAGTCGAGATATGTTCTCTATTTACAGCTGTAAACTTACATACTGTACAAGCTTCGTGATGTGGGCATAGATTTACTATTCACATTCTAATTCTGAATATACTGAGAGAGAGAGAGAGAGAGGTGGTTTCTGTCGCTCGCTGTTTATCACTTACGCCGGTGGATAATGATCCTGGCAGATATTTTTTTTTTTTTTTTTTTACGGGAATTAGCCCACCCGGGCACAGGTCAAACGACCCACAACGGGGCCTGGGAGGCGAAAAGATGAAGTACAGTACATGAATACAAAACAATAGCAGAACATCACACCAGCTCGACTCGCTTAATTCTCGAGAATAAATATTCGTTTAATGGCTGTGGCTTCTTTATGTTATGAGAAAAGTTTTGTGTGTATTTAGGTGTGTTTTACTCTAACCTAACCTATATTTTGGGGGGCAAACGAGCGAATTTTATAAATAAGAAAAAGAAAGACTTTTTTTAATTTACTCATTTGCACAAGAAATGGAGGTCAGATTTGAATAAAACACCTAAATACGCACAAAAAAAACTTTTCTCATGATTTCAACTTCCAAATCACTGTTGAAACTAACCTAACCAAACCTAGCCTAACTCATATCTCCGTTAACACTAATTTACCGAAGGAAAGAATTTTTTTTTTTTTTTTAATAATCCTAGAATAACCAAATACGAAAACCTTGCCACAGCCATTAAACGATTATCAACCCTCAACAACGATAAATACAAGTCACGGATCTTATGTGTATAATGTAACATATAATTCATTAGTGTTGTTTGGTGGTTTTCCCGATGAAATAGTAGATACTTCAACATTAAAACTCTGAAATACTCAAATACAATGGATCAGTTGTACCTTTGAACAGTGGAACATACGAATTTGATAGTTCTTACCTTGGGTCTACTGTGGCTTTTAAGTAATCATGATGACTGTAGAGGAATGCTTGGCCATTAGCTGTTGACATGTAACCTTGACGAAGTAATCACTGGTTGGAAGGTGATCAACACGCACTACATCACTTATTATTTAAGGAATTCCAGTTTGAACAACACTAGGGAATAAAGTATATATATATTTACAAATTTCACGACTTTTAGCGAAGATTATCCCCGGTCAACCGGTAACAACACACGCGTGCAGTAGATTGGCTCTTCTCAACGAGGTTAACTGTTGTCTTTTGTGAAGCACTGGTTCACAAATCACTTCTCGAGACCTACTAACCGAACCTTCTGGAGCCCCACGCTGTTCACACTAAAAATTTCTCTCCTTTGCGTCGCGTTGTTACTACAGTAATCAAACTGTAGTGTTTGATTGGGTGAATACTATCCAGTGGTGTGGTCACTGTGGGAGACTCTAAGTACATATCTTTATTTCAACCAGAAAAAAAATGTGTTATCTGTGCAGTTATGGATTTATTTTAATAATTATTTTAAATTTTATTTTCATAGATTAGTTTCTTTGTGTATGCAGTAGGATAAAAACAATATTTGTACGGTAAAGAACCCAGCAAGGCAGATGTGCAGCAGCAAAATGCTCGTTTATAACATATTTAGTGCAATTTACATTTACTTCTCGGACATAGGAAGCCGAAACGTTATTTGCACCAACACATTCTTGAGAATACTGAAGAGCTTATGTTTGAAGCTCCCAAAACATTTTGTTTCTGTTGCAATAAGCTAATTTAATTGACAAGGCAAAATCATGGCACGCAGGCATTGTACTGTACGTGCAGTACATAGTATATACAAGGGATGTTCTAAACAGTAGTCTTAGTCTTCGTGAAAGGCACAGCTCTTCACTGACATTCTGAACACTTAAGATGGTACTCCGTGAATTTCAGAATCTTTTAATAATTTCAGGCTTGCCATTTCATACTCCTAACGATTTCGCCCGAGTGGTATATCTTAGTTAATTTTCAACCCCTGCAGTATACACTCTCCTAATTACTGGCAAGCTGCCCTGAATAGTGTGTGTAAGCACTGGTGCAAAGCATTAGTTAATGGCATCTGTAATCTGCTTTCCACGAAGGGTATATACAGTACAGCATCATCTTTTTTATTTTGCTTCTGATTTTTTTTTCAGTTCAGTCTTTCATAACGACTTTCCCCTTGTTCATAACCAGCAACTCTCTCTCCTTAGTACTGTACTATATCTTGACTTTCAAAGATCGTTTTAAATGTCATTATGTAGAGGTTACTATCAAGTGCATAATTATTTTCCCCACATAAACCTTGCCCATCAGTGCGTCAAAAATCACAAAAAAAAACATTTCCTTTCCCAGTGGATTTTGTCATATGTTGGGAGAGAATTTCATTCACTGTCAATAAAATTTTCTCCTTTAGCTTATAATGTAAAATTCGTACTTCTACTCATGCTTAAAATCTCCCATTATGAGCGCCTGTGTTTCCAGTTCCACCTTTATAGCTATGAGGATCCATGGCATTTAGCTTGTCATTACCGGTCACAAATTCTAGAAGTCAGATTTTGATCAGAGAACCCTGCGAAAATGGATCTGTGGTCAGTTGTCTACTTAATTGAGTGTAGTCGTTGTAATGTAACGTATATTGGTCAAATTAAAACACCAGGGAATGTCATTTTGGATGAATGAATTATTGTTCGTACCATAGCTAGATATGCAATCACCCTGTACAGTATTTTCTGAACCAAAACTGGAGTTAGCTTTCACAGGAGGATGAGAAATTGCTGTCTATCCCACATCTCCTACACACCAACATTAACCAGTGTACTGTAGGTACTTGAGGCTAGCTAAACACCTCGTCTATTAGTGATTGTCCTTTACTTTCTCTTGCAATTCTGCACTTCACCATCAATCCTCCCTTGTTTAGGGGTCGTTCTCCCATGCAAACCCATACCTTTACCATGGACTTTGGAAATTATAGTCACCAAGAACATAGAAGTCTCAGTGAGATCTGTCCCAGATCAAGCATCATTAGTCATGGTGAGACTCTTTTGGTATTACCCTCACTCCATTAGCCAGACAGACAATTGTCAAACAAGGAAGCTAAAAGTAGGTTCTCATAGATAAAATCTTGTGGAAGATGCATCTGGCAAAGCACCTCGAGGTTTGAAAAATATATCTATGGCAGTCGAATTTGTCCCTAGATTGAGCCAAAAAGGAAGGAAGTGGGAAGAGAGGATCGAGAGAACAATAGAAAGAAAAATGCAGCAGCAGCTTCATAAGGTCAGCCTTAGAAGTCTTTGTTAATTAGTTCATCTGACTAACCTTAAATTTATAAACAAGTACAGTAAACACAACAGTACTCTATGTGGGAAAAGCCAAGCAGCATTATGCTTTGAAATAATACCAGCCAAAATATCATGAACCTTAAGGCAGCTCACTATTCTCTCAGTCGTAGTGCATAAAACATGCAACAAAAGCCCGTTTCACAGTTTAGAAATAAAGGACACGACAGAATATTCTTCCAAAAGGATGGAACAAATCAGTGTCCCCAAATTTGTTACCCCTTCCACAATATTCTGAATTACCTGCAGTTTTCATAGAAAGGAATATCCCTAATGGGTAATAAAAACCAAGTTAATAACTGCTGGTATTTTATTTTTAGCATTTCTAAATAAGAAGAAATACTGAACTTATTTTTTCTTGTTCCATTTCCAAGTTGAATGATATGCAATAAACTAAACCAAATTATGTTTCAAATACTAACGTAATTCTCAGGATACGTTAGGGCTGACCGAAGGTACGCCGAAAGAGACCTAATAAGAGATGGCGAGATGGTTATGCAACATGCAGTAAGCAGCAGCTGAGAAGAGACTTTAATGCTAGCGTAAGAGAAATTCCTAATCTTAACACATTATTTGTATGCTATGAAGAACTAATACCAAAGTCTCCATCTCCATACCGCCACTTATTTTGATGCTGCACATTATGCATTACTGCTATTCTCTCAAATTCTGAGTTCATCAGTAATGACTACATATACTGTCCATCTTCACTAGCTGTACCCATTAGCGTAGTACCTTCGATCTAGAGTAAACTTGAATATTCACGAGATTCCACAATTCACTTCTTTAACAGTATACATTTTTCTACTTTGAACTACGTACTGCATTTCCCTTTAGTATTCTTTGTTTAGATCAACTTGGTGAACAAATATATAACTTTCCATATTAATATAACAATCATCGAATGATCCTATATTGTAGCAGATAATACAGATCATATAATTCATGATTTAAGTAGCTATTGGATTCTTGTCTCTCTCTTGAATGAATTGATACAGCTGAGGACACGAGATTTACACTGAGTTTCTATTACGTAGCGTTTTGTCTCCCGAGGAAATATGATGGTCTCCTCTGTCGTATCTGGTCTGGAGTGATGGATCTCACTTCTAATTTCAACATTACACTGTTTATTGTACAACTAAGAAGCTTTATCCTTAGCTGGAAAATGTAAATGAAGTACAGCAATGTTTTAGTACATAACCAAAAACACTAAATTTCAGGAAAAATTAAGTTAAATATAAGTTTGATTTTTTCCGTACATTACTGTAATGTTTCCTATCTACAATAAGAGACTATCCCACTGAATAGAATTCCTAGACTGAATAAAGGTACAACATAGTTCTGCAATTCAGTAAATTTTACGTTTATGATAATATACAGTAAGTGAGAGCAGGAACACAAGACTGAATTCTTAAGTGTTCGAGAGTTCAACCATATCTTCTTGATCAGAACCAAACCAGGAGGCAAGGTTAAACACTAGAAAAATAAGTACAGTTCAAACTTTGACCTAAGTTACTCCTTCAGTACAGCTAGAATTCATAATCAAATGTTTTGTGTACCACCTACGGTAAGGCTGGCACATGTATGCTTGCACAGTACACTATAGTACTGTACTTTGGTATTCATTCATTCCTGCTGCAAAGCCACCTATCAAACAGCCAATCACCAATATAATGTTATTTCTTGCCAATACAGAGTCTTGTATGGTTCACATACTCAATTTAAAAATGTTTACATCCTTAGGTTGGGTTGTGTGTTTATCATGTTCTATGTGCTTTTATCCTCAGTAGTCACTACAATGTTTGATTATATTAATTTAACAACAGAACATGCAAGACATTGTGGTGGTAGAGAGGGCATGGTAATAAAGTGCTGTATACATATCAGTGGAGGGTGGAGAGGGAAGACATTGGCTAGCATTGCACAAGAGGGTGGGCCCTGATTGGCGGCAATACGAGAGGGAGAGGAAAAGGGCCTGCACACACGCAAGACTCGGTTGTAAACGTTAACCTAACAAATAATTATCTGATTACATCTTCCTAAACAAAAGCATACAAGGCATTTTGGATGGTAGAATAGGTGGGGCAACAAATTGCTGCTTATGTATGAATGGTGGGTAGTGAAGAAGGCTGTTGGCTGTCATAGCATTAGAGAACTGGTGGCTGGCTGGCAGTATTAGAACTAATCTTATTCTTTTCTGTTAGATATATTGAGATGTCTCTAGAAACCTAACCATGTGAAACTGCAGTACTGTACTTCATTGTGTTGTCTACTACTGTAGGCCTTGATAAATATCCTGGAATTTAAATTACATTTGGTAACTGCTGTTTTGAAATGAGACCACTCCAGGCCAGGGGTACAACTCTTGAAAAACATGAACTCAGAGCTAACCATTACAATAGGAGTTTGTCAAGATAACACTTCAACCCTATATTTTACTGTAAGCTCCTGGGTTTGTTTACACAAGTAATTTTATTATATATATATATATATATATATATATATATATATATATATATATATATATATATATATATATATATATATATATATATATATATATATATATATATATATATATATATATATATATAGTTAGTTTGTAGTCATTTAAGTCGAGTCATTCATATTCACAAGGCTAATTTTTGGCAAAAGTGAAAAAGTAGCCTCAATGAAGTTTTAAAATGAGTTCATGAAGTACACAATGATTCTCTTCATTGGAAGTGTAAAGTACCACCATCTTTAGTGTTCATTACATGGCAGCCATTTGACTTCCTGCATGGCGAGGCAGGATGACTCTACTGACACTGGTGGTTGCACTGAGGAATGTAGACGGTCACCAACATATGGGACAATATATACTATGAGACAACAATAAACTGCCTAGATTTCCAGTAAACAGCAGTCAACATAGGTCATGGCAGAATTTGAGAATGTGCTGCTTGGCAACACATTATCATCTATATAGGGCACTAAATTTGTGTGCCAAATATTATAAGCATGTACATCATATTCTCTTTGTGGATCAATAATACACCAAAATTGAATACATATCGCACAAAAAAAAATAAATAAATAAATGAAAAAAAAAAAGGAAGAAAAAAAATGGAAACACTATGACAGTATTCATCCATCAAAGTACTAATTAAATCAGTCTCCAATCACCCAACATATATATATATAATACATGTGCATACATACATCACACACATCAAATCATCAAAGACCCTTGGGTAATTTTTAAATTATATTCACTCCTTTTCTTTTTAAAATCGCAAGTGACAACTATTAACACATAACCCAAGAACCAAATTCGATGATCTGAACATATCATACTACACAGCACATCCAGCATGGTCAGGGAGATCACTCCTTGGATCTATGAACCAAGTTTTAAACTCCATGATCATAATGTATCTACAGTATTTGAGCTTTTATGAACTAGAGAAAATGAAACACGTACGTACACAGTAACACATGAACAAATATTTCTCTTCTACACAACACAACTTTGTACAGTGGTTTACTTACAAATCTAGCAAGCAGGACATTTTATTCGCCTATTTCTGCATCAGGGTCCCTGTCTGTGACGAAGAATTTTCCATCTCATACATGTACACATACACCTACACACACACGCACACATAATCAGTCATTCAAAATCCCAACATAAGCACCATTATTCCACATTCTTCATCCCACACTCAGAAAGGGATTTATGCCACAAACAGCATCTCTTCATATAATGCATCCCTTAGGAACTACAATCTTTACAAAAATACTTTGTTACGTCCTTCAGTCTTACACTTAAACATAAATGTATGTGGCAAGCACATAAATATCACACTCAACATTTGGTTTTGTAAAAAAATAATAAACACCTCATCACTGTTTGACTTACATGTAACTGTTAAGAAAAAATAAAACATTGGTATCTTGAAACAGCACAGACGTCATTCATCTGTGTTTCTGGTCACCAATTGAGGGGTGCAGAGATGATGGGAGATGAATGGCATTCTCAAAAATTATAATTTTCAATGTCATTTGTCATCTCATAATACACTAGAGTCACAAAGTCAACACTGATAACACTTATTATATCTTTTGTCCTTTATGATACTATCAATGTATTTGGGACTTTTGTCCTCATTTCTATATTTGTACAATGAACGTGTTTTCTTACAGATCACAACACTTATTGTATTCACAGTAGCTAAAAGCCTCAGCACACACAGTGTCTTGAAGCAATTCAAATAATGAGGTACAGACTGATGACCGCACTATATGACGAATACAGATCCATTTTTAACACCATCCCACTGGAGAGCTTGTCACACTCATAATTTCATTGGTGAAAACGAATAAAATTTTCCACCCTATAGAGAGAAGCAGGTACAGGGACAACAAAAGATTCTGTAAGGTAACTCCTTACTAGTTCATAAACATACATATCTATGCTTGTTTTGCATTAAATTGTCATTTCACATTGTTCATATAATTTCTTGTCAAGACTTAATATAACTTGGCATTTTGCTGACTATAACATGCACCTCATTTTACCGCCCACAACTACACAATATTTACATTTTCAGTGGGGACATGGGCCACATTAAAGTACTTCTGCAGGAACAACACAAATTTTTGAGGAAATAAAACTTCTAAGGAAGAGCAGTGCACAAACTCTGACTGTCATGTGATGGCAGGTATGATGAAAGAAAGAAACGGAGTTTGGTGTTGGAAGTTGACACTGTTGATATGCCATGTACAGGGCTGTCACAGGCTCAGTTGGGAACAGCCTGAGTCTGTTGCAGCCTCTCCACTTCCTCCAGGCTTAAAACTTTCCCACCAGGAAGGTCTGGTAACCCTCCTGCTTGAACCTGCAAAATACATAAGGTGCACTACTAACAACACATTATACACCATCTACTGTATTATAAACCCTGACAATAACCTGATATGGGTATCATTAATTGCAATTATTAATTCTCCACTTTTCAGTTATTAAACAAGAATCTTGTCTAACCTCATGCAATAAGGTATACACACACATGCATATGCAAACAATTATTACTAAATCAAATCATATTCTAACAACAGTACTGCAGTATATAATGTACATATTACCAAATGAGATTTTTGGGCTTAAAGCTATGACCTTTGACAGAAGACAAATTTGGTATTCTGCATTTTCTTGAATAAAGATATAGTCACAGTGTTTCAAATAGTTTCTTCAAATTACCATAACATCTTTGCCAATCCAGTACAAGAGTTATGCTCCAGGAAAATTAAAGTTTATGGACTCCCAAATGACAGACCAATGGCAAAATGTGTCCTTTCAGTGTGCATATAAATTAAGCAGGATTTCCACCAACCCTGACCATTCATATTAAACCCTTTCATTACTTTCACATATCTCTTCAAAAAACATCCACATGACAGTATGCCGATGTATAGGATCTGTTTTTCTCCTTTCTTACTGGATAACTCCCTTGTATTGTGATACTCAAGCATATCATGTCAGTCTCATTTAGGCTCCACCCACCCACTTCCAAACCTAATCACTTTCTGTATCTCCCATATCTCTCCTTGTTCTATGTGACTACAAAATAAAATCCATTTTTGTGAAGTGGCTTGGAACTGAATTCATTCCAAATTAAGTGAGTTTTCTTTAAACAAAACTATGAATAACCTTGAAATATAAACTAAACAAGTAAATTTCTGGTTTTCTTTCATTAACAAATATGTATGTGATTGTATACAGTATTTGCAATAACTGATTTGTATATATCATACATATAAATCATACAAGATTACTGGACACTGTACATCATTGCACAAAAATATTTGGTATTACAGGACTGTACTTGAAGGTAAGTTATTGTATGATACAATTGCTCAATTACAATGATATATTTTTATACATATTAAAGTATATAGAACAATATAACATTCTTATTCAGTATATCACTGCACAAACATTTGGTATTTAAGTACTTGAAGGTAAGTTAAGTGTTGTCACACAAGTGGCTGTCTGTTGAGTCACGGGACTTGATGTGACGTCACAGGCGCCAAGCGCTGTCTCCACGTGTCTTAACCTGTAACCCACACACTAATCACTGCTAAGTTTTAACTACAACAGCAAAAAATGCCCAAGCAAAATCATGTTTACTGTATAAATGTCCTAAAGTATAAAAACATAATTGAACCAGCAACATATGTACGTGGTGAAAGGCGGTGGTGTTAGTAAGTGAAAAGAAAGTTTTTGCCAAAATTTACTTCATGTTTTATCTACAGTGTTATGTTAGTGGATCAAACAAAATTTTACTGAAACTGAAAAGATTTAAGAATACCTCAGCAAAATTATGTTTACAGCAAAAATATCCTCATATATACCTTGCAATAATAAACGATATTGAATTTCATGTGTACCAACCAATTCTGACACTACAGAGTGCCAAATTCAAATTTTACCAACCTAGCGTTTTCATTCCGTAATACTGGCCTTTCCAGTAAATTGGTACAGTACAATACTGTACTATGTATATACGGGATATTTCTGTATCACATTTTTCTTTGCTTGTGGCATTTTATGGTGTGATAACATACTGTACTTATGAAGGGGGAGGGTGTTAAGAGATATGCATCTGATAATAATCTGACAGTAGTAATGACAATTATTTGCCAATTGTAAAAAACAATACCACATATACTGTATTATTTGGGGCCTCATTGTAGGAGGGGAGTACCATAGGAGAAGTGATCTATTACCATACAGTACAGTAGTAATATTGAATGAATGACAGCAAATTTATTTAGAATAATTATTATTCTCAACAAAGATAAATGAGTGTAGTGTAGTAGTAAGGTATGGTGTGATGTGGGTGGTGTAGTGTGTTCTTAATTCCTGTCACTGCACTATAGATGGCAAAGGCTCATAAAAAAAAAACTATTTTGTCAAGTAAAGCCCCAATTCATTAGACTGTCTCAACCCCAATCTGATAAGTCTATTTATTTACAATTTCTTTTTCTAATACCCAATAACACAAAATTTACTGTACTTTTGAGGTTTGATGGACGAATTACAGGTACATCACATTAAATAGTGAATATAAATAAGGCTATTAAACAAATTCACCGAGAATAAAAATTCAATATTTACTATATATACCCATTATGACTGGTATATACAGTGTAGACTCAAGAGACATGCCACTCAGGAACACTAAAGGAGATCAGTCACCAAGGTCATGCACCCGTGGAATGTAACCAGGTAGAGTGAGCAACATAGCTTAAAGTGTAGGCAGCATTTTTGCTCACACAGTGTTCCAAAATGGGAAAAGGTCACTGTATAAGCAGCATTATGTGTAATACCATGCTATGAGGTACATCACACACAATCAAAACAGAAAAAGCATTGTCAATGTGCATAAATGTGAATAAAAGAATATAGAAGTATCTATCAGAAAATAAGTACAGTGATCCCTCGGTTAACAAAATTTCGGTTAATGAATTACCTTCCATAAGATTCTTCACTTCGGTTCAAAAGCAAACCCTCGGTTAACGAATTCCTTACGAGTGCCCCTCAACATGTTTTCGCTTGCTCACTAGCTGTAGTATTAGTCTGCCAATACAGTAATCGGTTCTAGGGCTTAAATTCCTTACCATTTTAGTAAATATCAAGAAAGTTGTACTATTCAATAATTTTAAGTCTTATATTAAATTTTTTTGTCATTTTAACAATTATTTAACATAATTGAAGTACAGGAAACTAGTTTTTAAAGTGCCAAACATCCACTCAACACACCAAACAGGTGTCAGTCTCTGTCTCTTTTCAGTGGAGGTAACATCTTGCTTCAGACTCTCTTCAACATAAACTATTTTTTCCATTTTTACAGTGAAATTATTGGTCATTTTGAAATTTATTTTACATATTGATGATATATAGCGCAGTGTAGTGTTGATTTAAAGAAAATATTCTTTATTTACAGCAATTAAACTTAAAATGTTGAAATTGTTTTTGAATCCAGCATGGGTCCCAAAAAATCAAGAAAAGCGATTTCAATCCAGGTGAAACAGGAAATTATAAAAACATGAAGAAAGCATTAGAACAAATGTGCTTAGCAAAGAATATGGCATGTCGACATCAAATGTGTCGACAATTCTTTCACAGAAAGACAAATTCAAGGAAGTGAAAGCGAGACAAATCTACCAGTGTTTTTAAAGGTAGATCCCTAATAGCAGAAAGAGAGAGGTTACTTCTCATTTGGATTAAGGAAAACAAATGAAAGGTGATTCAGTTTCGACCGAATTTATTTGTGAAAGAGCCAGGGAGATTTACGAACATTTGAAGGCAGATCAACCTGGTTCTTCAGGCACAGAGTTTGAGGAGTTTAGGGCCAGCAAGGGCTGGTTCGAAAAATTTAAGAAAAGAAGTGAAATTTTTAGTGTTGTTAGGCATGGTGAGGCTGCCAGTGCTGATAAGGAAGGAGCAGCAAAATTTTTAGTGGACTTTAAAAGAACTGGTGGATGAAGAAAATTATCTTCCACAGCAAGTGTTCAATGTGGACGAAACTGGGCTGTTCTGGAAAAAAATGCCTAAAAGGACAAAAATCACCAGAGATGAAGCCTCTTTACCTGGGCATAAACCCATGAAAGACTGTCTCACTCTATTGCTTGGTGCCAATGCTTCAGGGGATTTCCGACTGAAGCCTATGCTTGTCTACCACTCTGAGAACCCCAGGGTGTTCAAGCAACAGAAAATGTTAAGAGGACGGCTTGGAGTTTATTGGAAGTCCAACCGTAAGGCATGGGTAACAAGACAGCTCTTTAATGAATGGGCAGTTGAGGTGTTTTGCCCTTCTGTGAAGAGCTACCTAACCACCAATATACTTCCTTTAAAGGCTCTTCTCCTTATGGATAATGCCCCTGGTCATGACCCTCAACTTGCCTGCACTTTGGAGTCTCAATTTGAATTTGTCAAAGTGTTGTTTTTGCCTTCCAACACTGCATCAATCATACAGCCAATGAACCAGAATGTGATCAGCAACTTTAAGAAGCTGTACATGAAAAAAATGTTCAGGAGGTGTCATCAGGCAACTTCCACTGATCCTGAACTAACACTGGCACAGTTCTGGAAGACACAATTTAACATCCTGGAGGCTGTAAAATTGATTGTGTCCTCATGGCGAGGAGTCTCCACTAGATCCCTCAATTCTGCATGGAAAGCAGTGGCCATCAGCAGTCCATGATTTTGAGGGATTTGAGGAAGAAGCAGAGTTGGACCAGGAGATTGTGTCCATTGGGTCAGTCATTGGGCCTTGAAGTGGAAGAGCTTGTGATGTCTCATGAGCAGGAACTTACTCCTGATGACTTGCAGCAACTGGATGAGATGTTAGAGGCTGACAGTGGTGAGGAGGAAAAGGAAAGTGATGACCATGTCTACTTCAGATTTGAAAGATGTTGTTCACTTCTGGGAGAAGTTCAGGAAACTGACTTCAAGGCACCTTCATGTGGAAAAAGCAGAACTTGCTTTGTGTTATGTTGAGGACACAGTGGTCTCCTTCAAACATCAGTTAATGAGGAGAGATGCCCCACAAACAAAAATTGACAGTTTTTTCACTAAAAGGCAGCGGGAAAAAGATGCTAGCCCTCAGCCTTCCACTTCAAGAAGGAGAGAGGATGTTCCTGCTGGAGAATCTGTCAGTTCAGAGGTTCCTGATATTTTCATGGAAGGTGACTCACCTTCCAAGAAGCAGTAAAATACTTCTCCTCCACCCCCACTTCCTTCTCTTTCCCTTCTCCTCCTCCACCTCCCACTTCAAATTCACATCAGCATCATCATCCAGGAGCCTTCTACATACACACCTCAAAGTAAGTGTACTTTACTACCTTTTTTGTTGACTTCATGCAATTTTCAGTGAGCTGGAACCAATTACCCAAAAACCCATTGAAACAATGGTTTCGGTTAACGAATTTTTCGGTTAACGAGTAACCTTCTGGAACGAATTGTGCTCGTTAACCGAGGGACCACTGTATGTTATATTTTTTTGTAATACTGTATTGCAGAAAAAACAAACAGCAAGAAAAATTATTTTTGAAAATGTGTTATTTTCCTCCAATTTATTGAACTCACCTGTTACCCAGTACATGTTCCTCATAAAATATGGTGTCTTTATCTTAACATTTCCAAGGATGGAGAGTACTTTTACTTTATCATTCTAATCAGTTCATCATATATGTTACAGGGTACAGCATCTGTGTAACCAGGGATCTCAAGTAATACTATACAATATGTACGAGGTCTGTCCGGAGTATCCAGCCATTTACTATTAAAAAAATATTGCTTACCTAGGACAATGGCGCCTTAGTCCCCTTCAAAGGACTCCCCCTTGGGACCTCACACACTTCTCCCAGCGTCCCTTCCACTTTTCAAAACAGTCTGCAAAGTCGTCTTTCGGGATCTCCATCACCTGCCTCGTCGCATTCTCCTTAATCTCGTACATCAAAGTTTTTTACCGGCTGAGGGATGCGGTAAGAAGTAAACGACCGCAGCTGTGGGCAAGTGGTGACTGGCAGCTTCATCATGACAAAGCGCCTGCCCATTCTTCACTTATCGTGCAGGGTTTTTTAGCAAAATATCGCATCACCCAGGTCTCTCAGCCCCCCTACAGCCCAGATTTGGCTCCCTGCGACTTCTGGCTTTTCTCAAAGCTAAAATTGCCGTTGAAAGGGAGGAGATTTCAGACCGTGGACGAGATTAAAGAGAATGCGACGAGGCAGCTGATGGAGATCCCGAAAGACGACTTTGCAGACTGTTTTGAAAAGTGGAAGGGACGCTGGGAGAAGTGTGTGAGGTCCCAAGGGGAAGTCCTTTGAAGGGGACTAAGGCGCCATTGTCCTAGGTAAGCAATATTTATTTTAATAGTAAATGGCTGGATACTCCGGACAGACCTCGTACCTAAAATACTCAGGGAATCTATGCAATTAGAGATTTCACCTAATCTGTAATATGTTCAAGTTACATTTAAGTTACCCAACATAAATTTACTTAATTCTGTGAATGACCTAATCAGTGAGATGTCAAAAATCTAAATAATCATATCATTTTAAATGTGAGTCAACCACCACTTTTTGCCATAGGTAAAAAGAACTAAAAAAAAAAAAAAAAAGATTGGTAAGGGACAGATGTATAGAAGAAGTGGTGCAAATATATAAGCCCCATTTAATCCTTATGTGGCCAGTGTCCTCATGTGAGAACTAACTTTTAGCACTGTACATTTGAAATTTTCGGATGACATACAGGTATAGTACTCCCCCACACTATTAGGCGTCAGGAATGCAGGGCACTCAGTTAACCTCAAGACACAAAGGTGAGCACACCCCCATCAACTTTTCGTAACCCAGACTCCCCCCCCCCACCCCCACACACACTCAAAAAAGTGAAGGAAAGCGGCTTTGAATACAGAGTACATTAGAGCTATCTTCTTTGATGACAGTGAGAAGTGATTGTTTAAGAGTGCTGGTATGGTGGAATTTTGTAACACTTAGGAGTAAAAGCTAGAGGAAGGAGCTAAAGTAGGGGCCTCCACCCCACCTATTGTGTGCATGATATTTTGTCTTGCAGAAGGGTTAAGTGGGGGCATCAATGCATCCATGGAACAAGGATGCCCCTTTTATAGGTAAATCGCACCTTTTACTTTTATGAGTAGCCTAGACTTTTAATGCAGCCATGTTTCTTGTTTATAACAGTCAAGTTATGATACACATGATATTTCATCAAATCATCTGTAGCATTTCAAGCATTATGGAGGAGACAATCTCCATGCAACTTGTGACTTCTATTTCAGATGCAAGTACTGGTGATGATCATGCTCATGAAGCAATTTTGTCATCAAATTATCAATTGTGATACACTACAGTCCAGACATAAGGGTGATGAGGACTAACATGTAGATGAATTAAGAGGCAGATGGAATCTATTTTAGTCCATGATAAAAAGTTATATGCAACTCATACTAAATAGAGGGTGAAATATTTCTAACTTTACTATCAGAGCTACTAAAAAATATGAATACTATGTACAGTACAGTATATGGACATTGTTTCAGGACTCTTTCTGTCTAATGCAATATGTTCAAAATGAGAAAATACGTGCATATTTTCCCTTCATTACTTGTCATTCACCAATCTTTGAGGAGAAATATGATTTTTACTATGATAACCCCTTCTACAGCATGGCCCCATACCCATGTTATAACCTGTCATATCACACAAACCAGCACCACCCATCAGCAGCAGGTACTTCCTGAAGATAACCCAAAGTCACACTCTGCTCAATCACAAATTTCTACTCCCTAAATGTCCATCCCTTATCACTTGATGCATTTTATGCCCTTGTTCATTCCCTCCCCCTCATAACCTAATCTACACTTTTAACCAATGTTTCACTTCCCCAAATATATTACCAAAAGAATCTCTACAACTATCAAGAGTACATTTAATCCTGGGGCTGACCCTCACCTGTGACATAATATCTCGACCAAAGAACTGGGCTAGGTTGACTGGGGAGCTGCGATGTGAATTACCTCCCATGGACATTAGTGGGACATGCAGGCCACCATCTAAAAAGATAAATTCAAATATATTAGTTCACATCTCTTATCAAGTCTAGACCAAGATTTCAATTATGTTATGTACAGGGAGCCTCCAAAATTCACGGGGATTAGGTTCTCAAAATGACTGCGAATCGCCAAATCCGCAAATAACATTTGCAGAGGTGTTTCCTGTGTACAAAAATGTATATTCCTTAACGTGTTTGCCCTTGGGACAATAATTTCTTTTCCATATATATATATATATATATATATATATATATATATATATATATATATATATATATATATATATATATATATGTATGTATGTATGTATGTATATGTATGTATGTATGTATGTATGTATGTATATATATATATATATATATATATATATATATATATATATATATATATATATATATATATATATATATATATATATATATATATATATATATATATGTGTGTGTGTGTGTAGATACACACACACAAAACACATACAAACAAATAATAATGAGAAAATCCTCTCACAAATAATCCAAAACAAATTTATTAAAGATGTGACAGTCTACCCACAAGTCCGTGCTTTATATAATAAAGCACGGACTTGAGGGTAGACTCGTTTTTAAAAATTTGTTTGACTGTATATATGTATTGTAATGTATATATGTGTGTGCGTGTACACACACGCACACACACATATATATACAATACAGGTAAAGGAAATTGCTGTCTCTAGAACATATCGCTCCCTGCCCCAGCCGCAAAAATGCCGGCAACTTTAAAACTAACCACAGACATTCTTGGGTACATCCAGAGTGTCATCCGCAAATAATAGAGGACTGCAAAAAAATTATCCGCGAATTTGGGGGCCCCCTGTGTATACAAACAAATCTAATTACAATCTTTGTGAAAATGAGGAGACATAAAATCACAACAATTAATTGTAAATAAACTAATAAACAAAGCACTGAAAATTTCATTAACCTAGTGGCTGTAGTTTACACTACTCACTCTCTTTATACTTGTACTGTATTTGTTTATTCTGTAACTGCTTTAATCTGTGATCTTTGCTTTGTGTTTAAGTATCTGTCAAGGGTTATCTCTGTTACTACACACAAACAAGCACCACTCATTAATTACAAAAGACAGTGAGTCTATGGTGTTTTAAGCTGCTGTTGTAATGATGGAAAATTTTGAAAGTTGCCAAATACTCTACAATTAATCATCTCATTAACTTATGTTATCCATCCTTAGGGAAACTTTAGTAAAATTCATCCATCAGTCTTTGAAAAAAAAAGTCTCTCTCTCTCACAGAACTAACAACAATATCCCCCTTTCCTGCATTGGAGGTAACCTTGACTAAGCAGTACAACACAGTATTGGGAGCAGGAAGGAATATTGATTATCTAGGGATATTCATGAACTCCTAATATACATTAACGACCACCAAGGAATTATACGACTACTCAATAATCCAGACTAGCTGTAATCAATTCTACATGCAACACTGGAAACTACACAACTAAAGGATACAGGATGTTTGACTGTTAACACACTCCTAACTACAGAGAAAGATATAATAAGCCGCTTTTAGCAAAATCTCACACAGGTATGAATAGGAGCGACTTCCACCATTAGTGAGCAAAATCTATATTATTGAAGCATGGATTACTTACATTAAAAATTCAAACTCGATATTGTAGCTACCAATGTCAACACACTGTATGAAGGAGTGGTTACCTTGTTTATGGTGGTGGTGTAAAGAGGTGGCAGGAGTATTGTTATTGAGCAGGAGCTGTTGGAGGGGACCAGGGGGATTGGCACTGGGCATTCTGTGGTGTGGGGGACCTAGACTACCTGATGGGGGAGCTTGGCTTCTCATTAACTGCTGGGCAAGCACTGCCTGGGCCTGTGCTGCTTGTAAAGCTGGAATGGCAAACATTAAAAAGGTAATAGAAAACACCAAAATTATCTTGAATTACAGTATCCTAAGATATTCGAGCTACTACACATACGTAAAGCATATATTTTTTTCTAATTTAACCATTGCTGAAATTTCAATTAAAAAAATGAGGCAACAAGCAACATTTCTTGGAGAGTTGCTACAGTGTCTTTGATGATGCATACTGTATTAGGAATGGTTTAGGTGTTATGACTGGCAAGTGTTATTTTGTCCAGTCAATATCAACCAAACAATTAATCTCTCTCTCCTGAGATAAGAGGTATTGGGATAAGAGACAATAGTCAGGACATGAACAAAGAATGTGTTATGCATTTTGACTATATAAACACTCTGATGGGACGATTACAAATATGTCGTAATAAAAAAAACTACTACTGTATTACCATTCCAATAACAAAAATATCGTCATTAGCTTTAAAATTTCACCAAAAATTAATTTTTCACTTGAATTTCATGGTTCAAGTTTAAAAAATGCACACCATTATCTTCCCATTCTAGCCAAACAACTGTGGTGGATGTGAGGTGTCGCAATAAATGCCCTGTGGGCCTCTAAGCATCAGTGTCCCCCAAGGAATTACAGCACACAGATGATATCTGTTCCTTTGTGATATTCACTTGTATTTTCGTATGTTGATGTTAAACTCAACCTCGTTTGTATAAAAGTATTGAAGATTAATCATTTGTGAAGAAATAACCATTAAAAAAAATTAAATATGATAAAAAAATGTTGTCAGCTGAGCACACCGTGCCCACCTTGGGTGGTGGCAGCATGCACCCCATGGGTGCATTTTATATGACATTTGCTTTAGGCAGTTATGACATAAGACTTACCTCTAATATTAAGATTTTGCTGATTCCCTCGTGACATTCCCATGTTTGGTGGCTGAATGGATGCTGAAGGATGTCGCTGGCCTGGGGGACCCATGTTATGGTGGCCCATATTCATCATTCCAGAGTTACCACCTCCCATTATCATGGGCCCCTTACCACCCATTATTGGCCCACCAGGAGACAATGAGGAGCTAGTGGGTGGCAAAGGAGAGGCACCACGACGCATATCCCGTTTGTTGTCAACCTTCCCTCGACCTAAAACTACAAGACAATAATGTATGTAATAAAATAACCCACCTGTGTCAAGGCCACTGAATACACTATACTGCACATACAGGACAATACACAATGGTGGATAAACAAAAAGAAAAGGGAGTGGAGCAGTAGGCATGATGTTGGGTGATTCTTTTTATTAGGAAAAATGTGCTGCTGATGGGTGCTATAGGTAATGTGGAATGATATGGTTAACTCTTAGGCCCCGGGTGACGTTCCAGAACGTCCGCCTATTTTCCCACCATTTATTTTATTTTTTTGAAAAGTTTCTTTTTTTCTCGATTCAATCCTGCAGGGGGGTACTGCCAGCAGCACCCTAACCCGGGGCTTAAGGGTTAATCAGATATGAATACAAGATCGAAGTGGGGAAAGTAACTGGATTTAGGCTGAACATTTTGTTAAAGAGGCAAGCTTTAGGGTTGATCATGAGACTATACGGAATAGAACTGAATACAAAAGGAAAAGTATGAAGCATTAAACTGATGTGTCTAAAACTCACCCTGTTGTTGCTGTAGTGGGGTCTGAAGTTGCATAGCTACTACACTCACTGGGTTGTCCAACTGGTCACGAGTTCTATCATTGTCTTTCATCAGGTCTCCAACAACAACCGGACTGTTTCAGAGAACAGGTACCATTTATTAGTCCCAATATACACTACCTAAAGTACAGTGCAACCTAAGGCACTGAAGACACAAAATACAGTAAACTCGCAACATTCACGGATATGACATTTACAGTTTTGATTATTCAAGGTTGGGTTCTCTGTATGCCTACAGTAGTGTTTAATATTTGCTGAAGAAAAATGTGACTCTTCACAGATTCAAGCCACAGTTATACTCAATAGTTTCAGAGATAAAATTGGAATTGAAGATTGATGCCCAAAAGGAACCTTCCTCATTTATCCAATAACTAACTGTAAACTGGACAAAATATACATATAACCTCTTGATGGTAACTTACTTAAATTCAAATTTGTTAGAATTTGTGAACCCTCGAGTATAATTAAAATGAGCTATTGTAGAAAACTAAAAATATTTGTTGAGGTTTAAATCTATTGATTGCTTATTCTGCTACTGTAGTAAGAGTACAAACATAGCAACACACCCAACAGATTTTTTAAATTTAACACAAAGACTGTTGTGAAAGATCAATGCCCAAGTGAGAAGAAACAAAATGTACATAACACTGTAAAGACTGTGAAAATAGAGACAACTTGTGTTGCCAGTTAAAGGCAAGGAAAATACGGAGAAGGTTGAGCATTAGAAACTGAAGTTTATGGCCCATTAGTGTGAGTCAAGTGACACAAAAGAATTGGTACTGGTGACCGGTGCTCTCTCTAAGCTGTGTGCCCGCTCAACAGTCAACCAAGTGACAGACACTTACTACTTTCAACTGTACATATTTTCCAAGGTAGTTCTGGGAAGAGATAACTCAGAAGCTACTTACAAATGACACACAAGACATAAAATAGTTGAATGCGACAAAGATTACTCACCTATCAGGTTTATCAATACGCTCATGTCGATCACGGTCAGCAGTCATCTTCCTCATCACAGAGGTTGGAGTGAAAGCTAAAGGAGACTGTGATTTAACCCCAGATTTGCTTGGAGAACCATCCTGTAAATTGGCAAACTATTATCTAAATGTCAATAACTGTCACCTGATTTGTGTGAGATTAAATGTCAGTATACAGGACACTGCTGCAATGATGACTATACCTACCACAGGACAACTACTATTCGGTGGGGATACAACATAAGAGGTAATAAACAATCATTTATGAAGCTTGAAAACAAAATTTGCTTATACTGTACTTGGATATAAATGAAGAAGCCTACAAATAATTTACTGCCTTACAGTATACTTTTTACTTAATCTTACATTCTTGTAGCAATATGTCAAATGTCCAGAATAGCCAAGAAAAGCTGTTTCTCTTGAAAAATAAATATAAATAAAATCTTGCCTGAACACGGCTTTGTTCATAAGGTTTGTGTTTTGAAAAGTGAGTTGTGGCCTTATGATAACTTCACTGGTTTGTGAAAAATACTGCACCAACGACCGTACATCCGAATTGAATTACATAATCAACATGGGACTCCAGTAAAAAGTATCCCACACTCATTACAGCACTTGTACTACAGAGGACATGATCACCGCATTGCTTGTACAGTACAGTGCCACTGAGTCAATGTGAACAATGACTGCCAAATTCCAATGCTTTTCTAAATATTACTAAGAAGCAATTATGGAAGTCTCAAATTTATAAGAAACATAATTTTACATAAATAATAGACCCTGAAACCAGAACTTACTTGGGTTATCTACGTAAGTAAAGCAAAATTAAAAAGTAAAAAAAACTTGAGTAATCTTACTAAAATGACTTTGGGGATGGAAGAAAAGACAGACAGACAGACAATATACCCCTTGCTATACAGTGATGGCTATAGTAAGTGTCACATCACAAAACCCACCCTTAATTATATTCAAAATTACACAAATGAGAGTACTTTATTGTTTTTATCTCAACAACAAGCTAAATACTGGTTGGTAGTCTCAGGCACTGGGTACTATTAGCTCTCTTAAGCAATCTCAGCTATTTTTTGTAATGCACAAGCCTTCATAATTATCCCCACCCCCCAAAAAATAAGTCAAATTTTCTTCAAATCTTAATTATGTGGCGAGTTTAATCTTCTAAATTAACAGCTTATTATATGTGATCTAGAAAAAGAAGCATAAATTGAAAATATATGAACCTTGTTTACATTAGAAGGAATAGACATGGAACCAATTCCCGAGACATTTACAGGTGCGTTGGGGTTTGGAGATCGTGCTCTTTCTGCTTCACGTTTGCGGTGCTTCTGAAACGTGAAAAAAATAATAATTAGCATAAATGTAAAGTCCAAATTTCAACAAACAATCTGAGAACAGACTACAATCATTCTGGGGATGGGGGGTGGAGGCAGGGAGGGTGTGGGGAAATATATCAGTAGCTATAGAATTTAATCTCCAAATGTAAATTTTGCTGTGCTGTCCATCTGTTATAAAAGATTCTAAATGGTACATACTGCACTTTTCCTCTACTTCAACACTAAGATAAACAACAACATTTTATCACCCTTCCCTTCACCTGATCTCATCCTCCCCACCTTGCTTTTAATATGCATTCACACTCAACTACGTCTTACACAGACGTACGCACACACAAAATTTCTTAAATACCTGTATAATTTGGGCCATGGACACATACTACAGTATATAAATACTGTACAGTATATCTAACCTCAATTAAGTCCAATAACATCTTATACGGTACAATTTATGTTATGCAAAAGCCTTTAGGGCCTGTCCTTTGTACAATGTCTTTTGTCAATCTCATTAACTGATTCACAGTTGAAATACAAATTTACATTGCCCTCATAACTGACCTGTGCCCAGGTGAGCTAATCCCCTTAAAAAAAAAAAAAAAAAACTGACCTCTTTGGCTTTCTCCAATTCCTGTTTGAGTAGTGCCTTTTGCATAATACTTTGAGTGTGAGCGACTAGTTCTTGATGTGAAGGGGGCCTGCGAGGACCTCCTCCAACATTATTCACACTCAGGTTATTACCCAACGACCCACCAGTAAACACTGTAAAAATAAAAAACAAGAATTATTAAATGTAAATGGCTTCTTCTAACTTACCCATAACTATTAAATGCTTACGGTAACTACAAGTATTTGCCCATAAATTTGGCCACATCCACCACTACAGCAAGAACCAAAGAACCTTATCTCTGAACAATAATATTGGAGGACAGTGAATAATAAACGATAAAATCTTGTTGTGTTATAGGAGACCTGTGGTGTAATGGTTAGCATGCTCGCCTCACAAGTGAGTGGACCCCGGTTCGATCCCAAGGCAGGGTGAAACTATGGGCAAGTTTCTTTATGTCATTTGCCTGTCTACCCAGCAGTAATTGGGAACCTGGATGTTAATCGATTTGCAGATTGTATTCCAAGGTAATAGTTAGCCAGTGCAGTTGGAGAGTTGTGCGGTCTTCTAAGACTATTCCTTGACACTGGGTCGTGCAACTCGTTAGCTCGGTGTGTGATTGTTGTGTTGGCGACAGCTTCTACACCTTAAACAAATTCACGCCTAGGTGGCCCTTGGGGTGGCCATCCTCGTGGGCAACCATTATTATACTACAGAATTTCACCTAAAGAAGGTGGATGAGGGAGAAGGGTTCTCCTTTATATTTTGGAAATCCCCCCCATAGCCATATTTTAATCCTTAAACGATAGCTGAGGATTCCCTAATATGCCGCCATTAGTGCAAAAAATTGAATAAAAGAAACTTAAAACATTTATTGATGTTGTCCTCGATCTTAGGTTTAAAAACCAGTCTCCCTCCCCCATTTTCTCCTTTCTACTTCTCCTACTTGAAGACTGTTGTGGCAACTTACTTAGCGGGGAAAGACGAGACTGTTGCTGCAGGATGTGAGGATTGAGCATATTGGAAGAATCAGGGTTGGGAGAAGCAACTCGGGGTGACAGGGAGTTGCTGCCCCCAAGAGACAAGCCTCCACTCACCACAGTCTAATAAGAAGAAAGGAAAGAACATAAATTTATAAAAATAATGAACACAGAAAGGTTTACAAATTAATCATCCCCAGACCATTTATTCACTAAAACTTGTCATGGATAGCAGCTAAAATGAGAATACTTGGTAAAATAACACAAGTTTTGTTCTTTCTATGAAACCTAGAATTCTTCTAAGTTTTCCCAAATGGCCATAAGTTTGTTAACATGAGTTCATTATATCCACAACTGGCTGGAGACCTCCTCAATGGCTTGTAGATCCCCACCCATCTTGGGAAATTCCACCTCTTGACAACCAAGTCCTTTCAAAGACAGAATAATTTTAAAGCCATGAATACTTTACAATTATTATCAAACAATATACAGTGGTCCTTCGATTAACGAACATAATTGGTTCCACAGCATCAGTTGTTAACCGAAAATTTTGTTAACTGAATCTATTATTTCAATGGGATATGTATTGAGTAATTGATTCCAACTCATCGAAAAAGTAGACATACAAAGTACTGTATACCGGTAATATAATTAACAAAACATTAAATATAAACTAAATACAGTACTGTACAGTATACTGTACAATAAATAAAAAACAATAGAATTCTGTATTTTAATTTACTTTGAGGTGTGTATGTCGTATACCCGGCAGCTTTGTTTACATATCAAACAGCCGATTGGAGAGGCAGTCGATGATGACATGCCACATTCCTTACGGAGTACACTGGTTCTAATGCCTTCTTCATGTTTCATAATAATTTCTGCACTGTATATTATCAATATGTGAACTAAATTTCAGAATAACCAATAATTTTAATGTAAAAAATGCAAAATATTCACGAGACCAACAAACTCGATGTTCACTCCACTGTAAACAAAGTTAAACTGAGAAGCATTGTTGGGTGATTCAATCAGCTGATGGGTGCACAAAAACTGTTCCCTATACTGTATATATTATCAATATGTTAACTGAATTTCAGAATGACCAATAATTTTAATATAAAAGATGAAAAAATATTCAAGAGCACAACTTTCTTGATATTTACTCCACTGGAAACGAATGTAAACATAGAACCAATTACTGTATTGGCGGTCTAGCCGATCAGCTGATGCGCACAACAAAGCGTGTTTCTCGTAAGGCTGTCGTTAACCGAAGTTTTGTTCGTTAATGGAACTGAAAATCCTTATGGGAGCTAATTCGTTAACCGAAATTTTGTTAATTGAACCGTTTGTTAATCGAGGGACCACTGTATTGGTACTTTGAAAATACTGACTACCACTACAAAACTAGAACTTTTGTGACAACACTATCCATCTGCTTATTAAATTCTGCAACAGTACAAAAATCGTCACAATCACCCATTTAAAATTGTGATTTCGCATTTAAGATATAATTTCCCTTCTTATTTATTAGTACAATTTACACAACAGCAGACTGTCATTGCCACCTCATAGACATCTTACCTGGGGGGTTGGAGAAGGAGTAAGGGTGGTACGATGAGGAATGAGGGGTTGTGAATGCTGGCCTTTAAAAAATTTCAGGACTGTAGAAATTGCATCACGTTGGGATGGTGTTATTGAGCCACTTTTCAACTGATTTACTAACTGGCTAGCAGTCACATGCCCACTAGCCACTCCTGGTTGAAAGAGGAAAATAAAATGTTCTTTATTATAGCAATACTACATATGTATACAGTAAGATTAAAAATTAAAATACCTGTAACATTGATTAGTTCCATGACTTTATTTAAATCTTTTACACACACATACACATGCATACCTTACCATTTACAGAATCTAATTAATGCACATAAAATAAAATAAAGTACAAAACTGTAAAGTAGCTAAAAAAAAGTATCTGTACATACTGTGTGTGAAACAATAAGAGACCACGGATGATAGGTATTGGGATGTGTGTGTTGTCTCCTTATACCAAGTGATAATAATTACTTAACCATTTATTGTATTCTTATATGCTAACTCATCCCCATTGTTGGATACTGAATGGGTGTGGGTGAAGACACGCATACCAACCCTCCCGAGACATCACGAGCAGTATGTATAATTTGGGAAGTCATCAGACTCACCCTGTCAGTTACCTTTTCTAGCTACTGTACATACAGAGGAGTGGAGGTTACTGTATATATTGATGCCTAATTTGGTATATTACATTAAAATATAAAATACAACTAGAAGACTTACTGGCTATGATGGCCACAATGTACAGGATAATTACAACATGTAAGGTCTTCTCTAAGGCAATTACACCAAATAATTAATAATCAAAACAATATATTAGTAATGTTGTTAAACCAAAACATATTGGACAATATATTAACGCGTCTATTATGCTTATGTGAACACATTTGTACTAAAAAAAAATTTGCATTAATGTATTTTGTTCAATACTGACCAAGCAGAAATGACATTAAGATATAAATCTATACAGTATTTGGTAACCCAATTGTCTGTGTAGCCTTCATGCTCACCACTGCCACCTTACACTGTACACTATTTACTCTATTATTCTTTCCTGAATGTGGGTGTTAAAATAAAAAGTATTAATTCAATACAACCCCAATAGATATTTCATAATCATCTTACAGCCATTGTCCATGTTTGACTGGCTCATGACCACTGAGCTTATATAGAATAGGCATACTGTACTAATATCTCCTCTGCCCCTCTCTCTTTCTTCCTCCCTCCCATCCTTCATTAAATTATAGCAGGAGAAGGAATGAAGGGGAAAAAATCCTTTTGGCTAAACACACTTCTATAAAACAGAAGTTCCTTAAGTCAAACATAAGTGAAACACACAAACTTACTCTGCAAGAGATTCTGCACATCAGGACGCATGAGAGCATCGCGCAGAACTTGATCTTGGGGTTGAGGTGATGGAGTAACACTCATGCGACCAAGACCTCCCATTAGCTGTTTAATTGGATCAAGCTGCTGTTGTTGCTGCTGTTGCTGTTAAAGTAATAAATTTAAAGTCTACAAATGGAAACAAGTTAAAGTGTTACAAAAAGTCTTTAACAGCAGCAAAAATAGAACCTACCTATACTGTATATTTCTTTTTTCACTTAATATAAAACAGCCTCCTTCTCTGTCCACTTATCAAGTATTTCATATTATATCTACATTTATTCCCATTAACAATTACTAATTAAAATTTGAGATGGAATTCAGTGAAGGAAAACAAAGGGACAAATAGGGTTAGCACTTGATATTGCCAGCAATGACTTATTCAGAGCAAGATCGCTTCTCTTCTGTACCCATAGTTGTAATAAAAGTGTGTTTATACAAAGCAAATTACAATACAGTAGATACAAAACTGGTAATTAAATCATTAAAAACTAGATATTTCAGGTGAACTCTGCCAGCATGAAGCAGAGATTTATCACACATTATAAACAATACTATACACAGGCTAGGTACACATGGAAGGTACCTATTAAATTGAGTTTCAATACAAGATGTGGCTAGTAGAGGTGGTTTTATGTGGGAAGAAATTCCTTAATAAAGTCCAAACATTAATTCACACCTGTTGTAGGAGCTGCTGTTGTCTCTTTTGTTGTTGCTGCTGCTGCTGAACTTGGAACAATTTCATAACAACATCCTGAGTAGATAGTCCTTGACTTGGCATCTGCGGCATGTTGGGTGGAGGCTGATAGTGAGTCACCATGCTTGGTGGGGGCACATTGAGGTTAGGTACAGCAGGAGGGGGCATAGAGCGGGTTTGTTGGTGAGGTGGAGGCTGGTTCTGTTGCTGCTGCCCGGGACTGCCAGCACTACCCTTCATAAACACTGAAATGTATACATATTGCCTCATGATATCATTTTAACTATTTGTCATTCAATTACGGTACTATCAACACTGTTTTAAGGTCATTATCCACTTACATGGGTTAACTGTGATAACCTAACGGCAGTTCTCCATGCTGTATAGTCTCTTGCAGCCTCTCCCTCTTGAGGCTTTGACCTCCCAAGGTCATTCTGACAACCTCTCCCAATGTCTTTCTTGCCCTACCCCCAAGCATTCCTACTTTCCATACTCAAACTCCTGCATCTCTTGATCCAACTGATCTCCATTCTCTCCACATACCTGAATCATCTCAACCTACCTGTGTTAAACTTCACCAATACTCCCGACTGCCCTCTTAGCTATAATAGGGTTTCTTATCTCTAAACACCAATGTATACATACATCTCTCCAAAGTCAATACAGCTCATTCAAGCTTATATGTGTCATTCTCTTTAACTAAACATGTTTCTCTGCCAAACAACATCACACTCCTCACACTGGTTGCAAGTATAACACTTAATACCCAAATGGGCCATCCAGTTTTCAGCCTGACCTGCACTAAGTTACCATAATCATCCAGCTCTAATGGATCCTTCTTCAAAAACTATCTAGTCCATGTTTTATCAATGTAGGTGAGACAGTTTTGAAAATAATTATTAAGAATTGAGAAAAAAATAAAGGGGGAGGGGGGGGGTATTGCCTCACTATGTTTTTTACCTCTTTCAAACTTACGCTAATAACGGACATGTTTACCAATGATACACTACCACAGGTCTCTTCAATAATATGACTGTCTCTCAATAGTAATATATTAAGGACTCTTACTTGCAATGAGATCGTTTTCTGTAGGGGCGTTAGGTAGAGCTGGTTGAACCGGCTGCGGCAATGGTTTTACCACTCCACCGCCGTCCTTCATACCTCCGTTCAACAACTGGAATTAATGCCAGACATCAATCAAAAATATTCTAAGGAACAACACCACTAAAGGTTTATTCAGAGATCTGCTTTGGGTAGTTTATGAAGAGTGGTTAAATATAAAAGAAGAGTTACTAATGGGAAATAAAATATATAAAGCATTTTTAAGAGTTATGTCAACATGATCTACAGAATAAACAAGACAAAGGCCTCAGTATTAAAAATATACATAAGGGTTGTTCTGTAAAATCTTTCTTTAACATTTTTAGCAACAAATCCCAATCATCTCTTTTTTCAGCAGCACACAAAGCAGATCTTCAATTTCAATAACACTATCAACAATACAATCCAAATACACAACCCAGAATATGGGCAGAGGGATGCACAAGACAGTTTACCTTCATAAACATTTCCTTGGCTGAATTCTTGGGATCTGGTTTGCTGGTGCCCTGAGTAGAAGTAACCTGTGAGAGCTGAAAGAACATTCATCCATCACAGAATCTGACACTAATGCAACTACATGCAGGCAAGTCCTACAAAGCCTAATAGATGCCATGCCAATTCTCTATGATAAGTTTAATCAATGGTACTTTAAACAAATGCATTGATATCCAAAACACCCAAGACCTGATCACACTCACAAAAATATTACTTCCCTCTTATCATACCTTTAGTTAACTTATAGATTTTCTTGAGACCTCTAGTTCTTTTTTATAGTAACTTATACAAATGGTGCTTCACTAAATTAACTGAACTCAAACCTATGTTCACCTCACCATCAGTGTTTGCCCCATGGATCACATATCGGAGGCTTATTAACTGAAGAATTATCAGTAAAGAAGATAAGGCAGATACAGTGTCAGAATGAAGAAAAATATAAGCTTAGATACTTTTACAGGACATTAGGTTAAAGCTTGGTTTTATTCAGTATATCTAATATCTTAATAACAAGGTCTATTTCTATATACAGTTTAACTCCAGTATGGATAAAGGATAGAGATATGTATATATACAATATAGTTAGCCAAGTGTGTGATGACAAATTGCCCTGCTGTGAGTTAACATGATGAGTGAATTTGCTACTTATTAACTGAAACTAAAGATTCAATTATGACTAGTGTGTGATGCCTAGTCCTGTCAATAAGCCAATGCAACTAAGTACAGCAGACTAATAAAACCAAAATGAAATCTGCATTGACTTTTAATTTGTAAATGTTGTAACTCACAAAACACAACACAGGGGAATAGTTATTAAAAAAAAAAATAATTAAAAATACAGTAATAGAAAAATTAACTATGCAACAATGAATGATACAAACACTACTAAGTATTTAAACAGATTCCTATCCCCAAATATAAAGAAACACCAGTTATTTCAACCTCTGCAGGAAACAAACATTATGATGACTGACGCTGACACCACAGGTCCCGTACACCTTAAGAAATAAAGGAAGAGTAAAAGTGGGGAAACGTACACTTGGCTAATCTTTGTAAGATAATAAAACCTGGTAGCTACCTTGTCCAAACTATAACTTAGCCAAATGTCATCAAACCCTCACATAACGTTCCCTGATATTATGTGTTCATCACAATCACGTAACAAACCCTCTCTGATCTTCATCCCTATCATCAACACCATAAATGCGACCAAAAACTAATGAAAGGTCTAATTAGACTAACATTCCAGCAGTATTTACAAAGTCAAGAAAATAGAAACTGTACAGTGATTTGTTTGCATACTGTACATAAATAAAAAAAATGTCAAACCAAGAACACTAGCATTTAATGACAATCAATGAAGATCTCAATATGTACAGGTAACAATGCTTTACTATCACTGTTCAAAACACCTACAATACAGTATACAGAAGTAGGTAACAAAAAACTACACAGGAAACTGATCTCAACTGAATGATTAAAATTGGAATTAATAAGAAATAGTAAATAAAACTGGGTGTGAATATATGAAGTAAAAAGTGTCTGAATGCCTGGGTTCTGTGAGAAAGCTAATGACCAACAGAGAAGAAAGCTGGAGGCAGGTGAGGGGACTAAAGTCAAGTGTGTGTGTGAAAGTGGCACACCAAAAATGATGGCACTGTTGCCAAGTGATGAAATGAGGAACTTTGTGATACACTATAAGAAAGTCAGTCACAGATTCTTAAGGATCAAGATAAAAATAGGGCATAAAAGGTGGGATACCACAAATATATGTACAGTACTAACGAATGAGTGTGTGTGTATTCAAGACTCTTCAAAGACCAAAAATATCTGAATCGAGAGCTTCAAAGTGAGAAACAAGTGATAGTGATGATGGACTGATATGCATAAGTTGGTGATAGGGAAGAGATAGGGAGGGGAGGCCTATGTATAATTTCTGTACAGCTTTTTCTTTTGGCAAACATTTCTATCAGTGTCAAAAAAAAAAATCATTCCAGGTATATTCTATATTTTCCCATAATCTCTTCAATTTCCCCATTAACACCTCTTGCAGTTAAGCTTTCATGAAATTTAATAACACCTCCATACTCCAAAGAGCCTCTCTCTTTCCTCCTCCCACAGTTCTCTCTCTTGTGAATAAGTGTTGTTAATCACCCAACTTTCTCCTCCTACATTAGTCTGATCCATAATATTCTGTCAAGACAACTCAACACATCTCACAGCAAAACCACCTCACCTTTCATTATTTCGCTCTCACCCGACTTAACTTTGCACTAGTTTTATTTCCACCAAGTGACATACAGTTACTACTTCCCCCACTCATTATAATTTCTGCCATTCTCACCTTACCACTCTGATTATATCCAAACACATTAGTTAAATATTAACCCTATTTGCCTGTGCTTCTTTTTAGCAACTGGTAAGAGGTGGAATTATTTGTCCCAATTTGTGATAAGTAATGCCTAGACTAGAGGCTTACTCATATAATCATCCTCATCGTGTTATTAAGTCAAATTACTATCACAACAGTAATTAGAAAAACTACATCATTTATTCTTTTACAGCTAAGAAATCAGTGAAGTGGATACACATGCAACAGCAGTGACACAAAGGCCTCTGCTGACACTTCCCTACACTCAAGCTTTACACCTCCTGAGAGAGAAGAAAGAATCTATGGAATTTAGAAGGTGTATGTCTGCCCTTCATTTGAATTTAGATGAGCAAATTATAAGTACCATATGTATATGTTATATATGTACATATTGTACATATTCACCTTGAGTCAGCAATGACAATTCTTAAGAACACATGCTGAAATAAAATCAGGCGATGCAAAACACATTTAAGTTTTCATTAGATACAGATTTATAAATGAATTTAAGCAGCATTACCACAAACTTTTGTAAACAAAATATGTAATTCACACTAACATTACAGCACAATTCAATAAAATGTAACCAATAGTATTGCAAGTAACATTTTCAACTTCTGTCGCATTAAGTGAATGCTAAAAAATAATGTACAGCAAACATATGCAACTAAAATGTTACAAAATTTGCTGAAACTTTGAGAATATGACATTTCTTCCAAATACCAACAGATTTACTAACTTATCAATACATATACAAAATCAAAGCTATAGCTTGGGAATGATTCTATTAAAATACAGTACTGTACCACACTGACTGTTTCCATGCATGTTCTACCAGTATAAAATTTTCAAGCATAACAAGTGCTAGGAATAATAAAAATCATACTCACGAAGTCATCAAAGGCGGTCATCTGGTTCATGTTGTGGTGGTTGTGGACCATATGACCATGGTGATTGTGGATTGGTTGGCGCATACTCCGAATCCCAGCCTCAACCTCCTCTAAACTTTGTCCTTTTCCATCCATCACTGAAATTCAATTACCAATAATGCATAATTTTTTCTATTAATAAACACAGGAAATGTGCATTAATACCAACAAATAAAGAAAAATAATAAAAAATTTTACATTCCCCTTAAATGTGACAACTGAAGTTACCCCGTGGGGCTCTAAAACCTCTTACTCCGTGATGGCATTATTGTAAGCTGCTATGACATTGAATCACCCACCAAACATCAGCGGACACTGCCAACCTACAGCAACTTCACACCCATGAAATATAACAAAGCACAGCTGGCAGGCCATGTGAATAGGTGCCTTTTAAATATCCAGTTAAAGCCCCCGCCTGTATGCTATTTAAGGTGAATTATAACTCATAAAATACATGGGAAATTTTATAAATACAGGTAACCAGACAACAGTTTACCTCAAAAGTTCTCTCACCAATTTACAACCACATATTCTCACCATAAATGTTAAGAATCCTGTAGCCGTTCACCTCTTTGATGCAAGTTGCACCATAAGTTCCACCATTATCAAATTGCATAATTAGTTATGAATCAGGTACAGGGTCTATTGTGCTGCTACTATTACCATTACTACTACAGTACTGTACTAAGTTACTACTACAGCTACTTTTCCAGTAAATACTACTGTACTACTGCTACTCGGGCTAAAATAGGTTCTGAAGTACTAATATAACCAATGGAGCTACTGAAATGACTGTTAATTCTTTGGGTACATTTACAATAAGATGGATGATGTTTTAGTCAAAAGACCATGGTGGGCACAAGATTGATAACTCACGCTTTTACGGAAAAAAAAAATAATAGTGGTCAAGCTAAGATTTTGGGATGTCATAAATTATAACTGGTAATACATAAAATTATCAAGCACTATACACATTGACGGTGAGCTTTAATGAACCGCATCACAAGACTATGAACCATAATTACGGTAAATAATTTTGCTTGGAAATACTGTACACATTCTGAACGAGAAACTTGAGAATTTTACTAAATTTCTTACAAAGCATGACAATGTTTCAAAAGTTAAGGACACTTTTAAAGGAATCCTGAGTATGCACCATATAACTCACTGAGATCCTTAATAGAAGGTGGAGGCTGTGATCCTGGTATACCGGGAGGACCTATTGGTGGTGGCGGTCCCATTGGGTCTGGTCCACCTATTCCCCCAGTGGCCTGCTGCAGGAGGTCCACTATGGAGTTTCCACCCGTTTTGTCTGCTGGAGAAATTGGTGCGAAGAAGCGGTTGGAGTCGAGGACTGTCGTGGGCGAAGGGATCACAATGTTTGGTTCGCTACCCGTGATTTCTGCAGAGGCAGGTTTAGTGGTTAGCCTTCAGACATAAGGTCTGAAGAGTGCATAGCACTACAGTGGAAACCATTGCTCATCTGTGCAATTAGTATCTTAAGCGATTTAGTAAATCAGTGTTAATGAGGAATATGTGCAATCATTAGTAACTAATTCCAATCGTTTCAAATGATTCAATCAAATTTATTTGGTGAGGTTGTTAATCATTTCTTTTGCAAATGTTTAGTTCTACGAAGCTGGGTATCTAATTATATAAAGAATCACACATGATCACTAGCAAGGCACACGGTTCGTGACCAGGTATAACCACGGAGATGTGCTTCACCCTCGCAAAATGATACACACTTAGCAGCTGCTACCTCATCCTGGACTACAAAAATATAAAGAATCTATCATTTACTCTACCCCAAAGAAGAGCTTTACTAATCACAGAGTAGTCTAGTGTTAGAAAGTCAACCTTAAATTGAGAATCGATTATATGGTGATACTGAACAATCAACGATCATCAAAGTGTGTTATGGCTATTCTACGGATAGCTATATGAATAAACAGTTTTATGAACTTGTGTTGTGTCTCCTCACGAAATGTAAAACAAATGAAAATCGAGACCACTGTTACGTACACCTCTTGCTAAACTTACATGGTAACAAGAATGATACTGAAATAGTTCTTTTAAACAAATGGCAACTCTCTACTTAGGGCACTCACCCCCTACCCCAGGGATCACTGTTTTGAACCTGGCACACACACACACAGTTCACCAAACTGTAAATGGTTATGTAACCAAACTTCGCAGTCAGGGAGTGAAGGTGGTCAAGTGCAGCACTGGCCAAACTGCCTCTGAGTAACATTGACACAGTTTACAGTGTGCTATGTCCACAAGTCCCAATTGGGCAGTCATGCCTATGAGAGATATTTTTCACCTCTACTGTTAGGGTAATTTGTACGATCACTGTACATATATTTCAATTACCTACTGATCACAGTAAAAATTAACAATTCTTAATCAATCTTGGCAAAAGCATTCATGTAATTAAAAAACAACTGCATAAACATTGATTATGCATTTCAAATCCATTTAACAATCATAAAAAGATCAGTTGCTTGTTTCAATATATTTCATAAGACAATTGCTACTCCTGCTTCTATTTGTGGGTTTTGTTTGTTGACAATCAGTGAAAAAACTTTGATTTCAGTCAAGTCTATTCTCAAAAGGTCTGGTTAGTTTTATTAATAATGAAGACAACAGAGCTCTTTCCTTCAAACTTAGGAGAGAAGTACACTGTTTAATCAAAACCAAATACTGTACTGCATGCTTGGTCAACAGCATCATGCATCTCTCACACACAAAATAATCTCCATTTACAGTACTTACATAATTACAACACAAATGTATTTTTTCAGATCTTGTTTAACACAGTCTTGAGGAAGAGATGAAAAACCTTACATTTGTCATAACATTACGCTATTAACAATGATTTTTTTTTCTAATTCTCATTCAAAGTACTGTAATGCAAAACAAGATCACTTGTCTAGTGTAACTACTTAAAATCTTTACCAGTTTATCTAATGTTCTCATACTGGGATTATCTACATCTAATTGCAGGCATAAGTGGAGTATGTCCATATCAATCCGCAAGTTCTATGTACAGTACTTTCTCATTGCAGATATACTTCTCTAGTAATCCTATTATGACTAAAATATCTAATTACCTACAGCTTTTTTATCAACTCAATTTTAGATTTAGAAAAATTTTACCCACTTAACAGGATTTTTTTTGGTATAAATGACACAAAATACAGTTGGCCTGGTTACTGAAACTAATACAGCATAATCTCACTAAATCAAACCGAACTAATTTGAATTCTGAATACTGTATATACTTTGATCAGACTAACAAGTTCAAAATTAGGCTGAACAGTGCAAAACTTTGCATGTGGCATGACCTGCATGTGCAGCTTCCACCCATGTGCTGTATAGAAACATGGAAGAAGCCTAGTTCAAAACCTGCCTGAGAAGTGCAATGGTGCAGTGAAACCTTATACCGATTTTGAACTTATAACCTTTACTACTTACAAATCTCGATGTTATCTTGGATGCCTTCAACTTGCAAAAGGCAAGGGAATACACAGCACATTTTTGCTATAGCTACTGGCTGCAGCAAAGCAATTTCATATGGAACATTTATTTCTATTACTGCAGCACCGCCAAGTGAATGCCAATGAGTGGCTCCTACCTCATCTAAGTAGAGAGAGCACCACAAATATCTATTTGAACTATCCCTGTCACCTCTCAAGACCTATCAGTACCAACTATCTATACCATCTTGACACAATCTTAACAGTCATTCTTTCACAAGAAACTAGTTTCCTTCTTACCATCAAACTTACTCCTCCCTATTAAAATTGTGAACAGCATTCAATCATTTATAATTTACTCATTTACCCTAAACAGTTTCAACATTTCTAACATCTACTTTCCCATTACTCTACTGTACTATATGCTACGGTATTTCTAGATCTACAAGTGAGTGAAATTTACTACAACACACCTACGGTATTGCAATAAATTTGAATCTGTAGCTAGTGTAAAACTCATGAGTGGCAACAAAAGATTGGACAAATACAGAAGAGCTTATACAATACTTACCACTTAGGAGATTGTTGATGTGAGGTGGCAAGTCAATGGAGGAACGTCGAGAATTGGAGGTAGATCCTAAAACAGGACTCTCTCTCTTTGAGAAAAACTGTTTTAATCTTGATGAACCACCACTACTTGCATTATTAGCTGCCATTACCTCCTCCGGTACACCTATGAAAATTTAGTGACTCATTAATTGCATATTCCTCATAAAAACAATTAATAAATAAATCTAAATATAGTGAAAACATTAAAGTAGAACAAGTGAACCTCTCTTATCTGGCAACCTTGGGACAGAATAATGATAATAATGATGGTACATTACCCTAAGGTACAATTAGCTTAACTCCTTATACTGTGCTGAATAAAATCATCTGGCATTAGTCAAAGTAACTTATCAAATGTAGAAATTTGTACATTACATTATAGTGAACAAATTTAATAAATAAACAAGTAATGTGACAATAACATTAAACAAATGTACAATATAGTATGCAATAATAAATGAAAAATATGTATACTAATTCAAGCACCACAGACCATGGTAATCACAACACTCATGATCCAGTGTCCTCAAGAAATTGTATGTTATTCTCCCAACCGTGTGTGCCAGAAGCTACTAAACTTTGTTTTAAGACTGCATCACTGTTACTAGATGTAGCAACATTTATCAGCATGGCAAAATTTTACAAATATCAAGTTACTGTATAACAAAAACATGATTTGGTGAGCACTTCCAAGTTTACAGATACTGCTTTTAGTCACACTACCATACATTTCTTTATCACTAATATACATATCCCAGAGTGGTGACTATCACCTCCTTGGCTCCATATAAGGGCTGGGGTTGGAAAGGGAGAGTTGTACTAATTTGTACTAGATGTCAATGTCAGGGGTTAGCCTGGCCTGCAACACAAATCAGGCAGGAAAAATATATGAGTATTAATTTCCTTGGTCTAAAGTGAGGCTTTGGGAGTAAAAGGCAGATATAAACTCTCCCATTAAAATGGAAATACTTAATACTGTATACTTAAAAATAATAATAAACTCATATTGAAAGGCAAGCTGAAAATATCAATTACCTCTCAGATAAATTAAGGTACAGTGATCCCTCGGTTAATGAGCGCCTCGGTTATCGAAATTTCGGTTAATGAATTACCTTCCATAAGATTTTTATCTTCGGTTAACGAGCATTCCCTCGATTAACGAATTCCTTACGAGCGCCCCTCAACATGTTTTCTCTTGCACACTAGCTGTCATATTAGTCTGCCAACACAGTAATCAGTTCTAGGGCTTAAATTTCTCACTATTTTAGTAAATATCAAGAAGTTTGTACTATTCAATAATTTTAAGTCTTATATTAATTTTTTTTAGTCATTTTAACAATTATTTAACATATTTTAAGTACTGTACAGGGAAACTAGTTTTTAGCACGCCAACCAGCCTCTCAACACACCATACAGGCGTTAGTCTCTGTCTTTTCAGTGGAGGTAACATCTTGCTTCACTCTCTCTTCAACATAAATGCTTTTTTTTGTGTTTCCAGTCAAATTATTGGTCTTTTGAAATTTATTTTACATATTGACAATATATAATGCAGTGCAGTGTTGATTTAAAGAAAATAATCTTGAATTACACCAAGTGAACTAAAATTTTATGGGTGAAATGGCACCATGGGGTGACTTCTCTTCCACCCCAATGCCTTTTCTTGTCCCTTTTCCTCCACCTCCATTGTAATTCCCATCATCATCATCATCCAGGAGCCTTCTACATACACACCTAAGTAAGTGTACTTTACTACCTTTTTTGTTGACTTTAGGCAATTTTCGGTGAGCTGTAACCAATTACCCAAAAACCCACTGAAACAATGGTTTCGGTTAACGAGCAACCTTCTAGAACGAATTGTGCTCGTTAACCGAGGGACCACTGTATGCCAAAAATACTCAGATCAACAGAGCTAAAATAATATATCAAGTTAACAAAAGCAATCTAAAGATACAATGGACAAACTCTCAAAATTAAAGGTTGTACTCAACACTACTTACCAGTTCACCAGGTGTCCATAAATTTACCTGACCCATTTTGAAAGTTAACTACTGTACGTACTATTAAATTCAATATTCATTATAATCACTCAATTCTTAAAAGTAAACAATTCAGTTCCAATACTTAAGACATACTTCCAATCTCCTTACTGGGGTAGCCAATAATATCCCCTAGGTAGTCATCAATATTGAATCCTGGTAGCTCTTGATCTACAGGCTCAATGACTGTTGGCTGTGGCTGATGCTGGTTCATATCACCAACATTCTGCACTTCATGTTCTTCTTGCTGGAGTTTTGGTGATCTGCTGTTTACTACGTCTTCAACAATTACTGGAGTGTTGCTACGAGATCCCTTTCTACTCCCACCACCTGAAGAAGTTATCACCCAGTGTTAAACTCCACCAAACAATGAGTTGTGCGTGCAGAGTTCAACATTATTTCCCAAGTCTTATTCTACCATTTCTAAAAATACTAAAAAATCAGTCAACCCTTTATATACTGTAAATATGTGCAAAATGTAAATCAAGTGTGAAAATTAGTATTACAGTTCTGTACATCAGTACTGTGTGTGTAAATGTTTTTGCTTGCATAAGGTTTGTGTGATGTGGAGTAGTGAATGTGTTGTGCATGGTGTGTATAGTGAAGGTGTAGACTGGTATGTGCATTGTAAGTGTAGGTGGGCTGATCTGACTCAGGTGATGTACGATAGTGTAGTGAGGAGTGCAAATACCAAGGGTGGCATAATGCAAACCAAATATATACTGTAATTTAAATCAAATTATTTCTACCACAATGATAAATTCTATATTAAATCAAAGGTAAATTTCTCTTAATATTTACTAGGATCTATATTAGGAATCTTTGTAATTTATTTCACAGTCCCATGTTACTTCAGACCCTCCCATTACACCCACCCCCATCCTTCTTATCTTTCTCTACACATTCTATTCACAAAATCCTGTTTTGCTATCGTTGTTTGCTTTCTATGTATTAATTTTTCTTTTTGTATCTTATAATCTAATATGTAAGGCTAGACCACGATATAGCAAAAAATATTCTAAATGGTAATAACCAGTACACATACAGTATATCCTGAGAGGTAGCGTAGTAACAAGTTGGAAACACTTCCCACTAACAGAACTTTTCCTGTATTGATACAATACAAATAGGTTGTGTGTTCATTGAAATGTCAATACTGTACTGTCCTGTACTGTACTATGTGAATGGAATAAGTTCATTAGGTATATTAGAGTGCAGCGACAGGTGCCAAAAACATGTGTTGGCAACAGTGTTAACAACAATGTCGTGAACAAGGTGACTAACATGTTAGCACACTAGTTTCCTGCATATGTTGGTAGCATTGGAAGGCAATATGTTTGTTTCAGTGGTGTAGATGAGGCTAAATGTGGTAGAAGTGAATCCAGCTGACCACACACACACACACACTTCGGAGAGTATTGGAAGGTTGTACCCATACAAGCTACCGTAAAGTGGACCCGGGACCAAACCTCAATGTTTATAAAATTTTATCAATCTCACTCAGTTTTATGGTGTTGCAGTGTCACTGCCTAGTGTGGACTGCGTTTACTTCACCTCTGTTTCCAACATGTTGACACCTTTAACCCCACACATTTGCCAACAATGATACAAACATTGTTGCATTCATGTGTCTGACAAAATTGCTACCAATACTGACAGCTTAGCCTAACATGTCTGCAGCATTGTTCTTAACAATGTTTTAGGCACATGTGGCTGCACTGTTAAAACTTTGTTTATGGCAGTGTGGTTAATAACCAACATCAACATCTCTCTGAAATCATCCGAGACTTAAAACTTACTGTCTTTGTCCTTTTTCGAGCGGCGACGTTCTCTCTTACTTAGGGGTTTAGTAGATGTATTTCCTTCCTCTGGAATGTCATCAAAGCCAACCAGCTCAATGAATTCATTTTGGCTGTAAAAGAAAATCTGAGGTTATAAAATGTCCAAGACAAGTATTTTTTCTCTTGAAATCCTCCCCAGTAAAAAAAAAACTGTTCCTTATGTTTTAATCAAACTTTGTTTTAGAAGTTGCTATTTTAAGGCCAGTTCTAGAAATTTAGTATCGGCATCAGTAAAAAAAATTACAATTACACACAGGTCTGCACTGCACTCTCATAATATGTAATATATATAAAAACTCAATTTACCTTCCTAAAAATACAAAGAAAATTTTTCTCAGCACTATATTTCAGATTATCAATCAAAATGTCTTTGAAAGGCAATATTTCCCTCCAAATTTCCTGACTGATACCTGGATTTTTACAATACACCATATGGATTCTGCTATAGTATACTAATTGAATAAAATCTTCCTTCAACCATCACAAATTATGGAAAAACCTCTCTTACATACCTGGTGGGTCCTCCTGTGAACCACTCGGGTTGTTCTTCCTCATCATTGCGAGAAGACATTCGCCGTCGTTCCTGATAACGACGATCCCTGTCTCTTCTTTCTGGGCGTTTGTCAGTTTCTTCTTCCTCAAAGAAGCGACGTCTATTTTCATATCTGAAATGGTGAAAAGTACACAGATTCAAGTAAAAATTAAGTATAAACACTGAAGAGGGATCAAGAAAGATACACATTTACAGTACAGTAGATCCTCTCACATTCACCAAGTGTTATTTCACAGTAAAGCTTTGTTCAAGCATTGGAGATCACCACACACTGCTAATTATTGATGATGCAAAGTGGAAATAAAAAGGATAGGCTTATATACATTATAAAACAAATTAAAGCTTAAAGGAAACCCTACATTTTATGTTTGGTTTTGGTCATGTCTTGAAAGTTACTGAAAAACAAGAGATACAGTGTTGTATTTTGTGATTCAGTGAAAAGATATAGTACAGGGGGTATTCATATCTTATAATTTCTGAAGCTGTGACACTACAGAACAGTTGAAAAAAAATAAAAATATTATTTATTCATTTATACACCAAACAGAAGGGATGTACAACAAACCACTTTATACACCTGGCAAAAGAAGGTTCTTAGCAAGGGTAGGAAATTTTTTATCACGCGTTACCGGTATTTAAATTTATAAGGAAACATTGATATATTTAATAGTAATGCAAATGTGTTACATGTCTGGTACATTTTGGGGGGAATATTTCAAAATGTGCCACACACAGATAATCTTAGATTTACAGCAGCCACAATGGACGGGTCAGTCTGTGCAAACAAGGTTCGTAAAAAAAAAGTAATAGAACCTTTATATCCTACATTTGCATATTAGTAATCTTTCTGGTGAGAGAGTTGACAAAGTTTCTAAACACTCTGGGTCATTTTAATGCTTGTACGTAGTACTGTACTGTATTTGTAAATTACTGATCAGACTTACCGATTATCTCTTTCAAAGCATTGATCAGGCTTCGATCTCCAGTCTCTGCTATCTCTCCGAGGTTCAACCTCTCTTTCTCTATCCCTATCGCGATCAACATCCCGATCTCGCCTCGGTATTTCCCTTCTCTCTCCAGGAACTGGAGTTTCCAGGTCGTCTCGACGAGAAATTCGACCAGAACCAATCCTACGAGCTGGGATCTCTCGATGGGACTCCCTCTGAGGGCGTTCCGTAGGAGAGTCTGGACGTTTAATTGCAGGAGGTGGCTGTTGCAAGCCATGACAGCCCGTGCTAAAACTTCGACGCTGGGGAGATAACACCAGTCCGTCTTGTTCTTCTTGCTTTAAGAACAAATACAGCAATAAATAATTTAAGTATACAAACATTAGTATTAAATTTAGCATTTCAATAATGTGCATGATTTTCAACACAAAATACTCTAATATACAATATCTAAAATTCTATTGGATTTTACATTTTGCATGAAAAGCATTTGTATGTACTGTACATACATTCTATAGGGTATTTCCAGTCAATCAAAACAATCCTGAGTCAAAGATTACATTACAAGGGGGGACCGGTGGTAGAAGCGGTACCGTTCTTGCCTTGCAAGCGAGATGTCACGGGTTCGATTCCCGGGCCGGTGGAAGTTGATTGGACTTACTTCCTAGCCCCCATTAGTCCCTGTTCACCTAGCAGTAAAGTAGGTACCTGTTGTAAGTCGAAAGTTGCGAATTCGTATTCAGGGAGTTGGAACTTCCAATAACTTGACGACATAAACCACTAACTCTTCAGGCTTCTACGCCCTTAACTCATGAGACATAAAGGCAAGCATGAACTTAGCATGCTTCCCTGTTGGGCGCTGTAAACGCTTCTGTACTTCACCTTACACAAGGATGTAGGGGAGTGCCCAATAAAATAAACAAAAACAAAAAAACAAAAACAAAAAAAAATTACATTACAAGGTGACACACAATGCATAATGCTATTAAAAAATATTAATCCAACCTTTACTCTCTCCCGAGGGTCACGGCTACGTTTGAGTTCTAGGTCTGGTGGACGATCAGGTCTATTATTGGTCACTGTAGAGCCTGTGGAAGCAGTGCTGGACGGACGCCGCTCATCATGCACTGCTCTGATCCATCTCTCAGGGTCCCATCGTCCAGGGGATTTGTTGTAGGAAGGATCCAAACAAGACGGCCATTTTACAGACAAGGGGGCTTCCTTTAGTGCCAAGAGTTCATCCTAATCCAAAAAATAAAATGATTGAGTCAAATAATTCTTCATCATCATCACTATGTAATTAACTCTTAAGCAAACATCTTTACAAATAAATTTAATATAATTCCACCAAATTGCTTTTATATTTCAACCATAGAAAAATGGATGCATTCTAAACCTTCCTTAACTCCCCACAAACATCTTGCTTCTTTCTTACCGCGGCTAATTACTTAGAATGAAAAAAATCTGGCATTGCTCTCAACTCTCGCACCATGTAAACAAAAATATTGTAGGTTCTTTGTTGAATCTATGCTACACTTTAAACCAATATCTAAGACACCAATGGCAGGTCAATGCATCCACAAATAAAATATAAAAGTTCATAATTTCCAAGACAGAAGTGATATAGGGATTCTGGATTGCTACTTGAAAAGCTAATTGGAAAAGGAAAAAAAATGCTCCCAATTTAATTACCCTGGAGTATTGCCACTGAGGAAGATTTTGGGGGGAAGAAGAGCTAGATGGTGTTGCAGTTCCCTTGAGGGACTCTCCTCCGCTTGAATCAGATGAAGAGGCAGATATATCTCCCTCTTCTGGCTTGGAAGAGGGTGTGGATGAGTCCCGACCTCCACCGCCACTACTCCCATCATCCCCATCTTCCTGTTGTTGCTGTTGACTAGACCACATCTCAGGGCTTTCTCCATTCGTTTCTGTAAATAACACACATATTAGTATAAGTGCTACAATAAAAAAAAAATTATTATCTTTACCAGCCTTGTCCTGTTTATCGCAAGGAGGCTGGAAAAGAGCAAACATACACACATTACCATTTATTCATTCTTCCATCCACACCAAGGCCCCAAATCAGAATTACCCCAGTCAACTCAAACACAGCAGCATCACACATCGATATCATAGTTCCCAAACATTACTCAACATTGTGCTCTCCAATCATTCATCAGCAACATACATACTTCATCCCATTCTTCCAGTGATCCCCTCCACCTGAAATCCTATATTCAGAACAAGCCATAATCGTGTAAAAATCAATAAGTGTACACAGTTTCTAGGACCTGAAACTTGTGCCTAGAACCTAAAAACTGAAGAAAGCTTGAAAATCAGATAAACCATCCAATTATACCAGAATCCTTAAAAAGGAGACATTTGATATAGCAATTTCACTTAATGAGGGGCAAGGTCGAGTCTCTGATGTTACCTTGATCCTCTGCTGTTCAGTTTGACCTCAAAATCAAGCAGGGTCAACCACCTCGGTTCCAGCCCATTTATCTATCAAAACCCCGGGCCGGTGGAAGTTGTTTGGACACTCTTCCTAGCCCCCAATAGTCCCTGTTCACCTAGCAGTAAAGTAGGTACCTGTTGTAAGTCGAAAGTTGCGAATTCGTATTCAGGGAGTTGGAGCTTCCAATAACTTGATGACATACACCATTGACTCTTCAGGCTTATATGCCCTTAACTCATGCGACAAAGGCAAGCATGAACTTGGCATGCTTTCCTGTTGGGCGCTGTAAACGCTTCTGCACTTCACCTTACACAAGGATGTAGGGGGGTGCCCAATAAAAAAAAACCTATCAAAACAAGGGAAGGGAGTGGATCTACTCTTTCAACACAAATGGAGCTCAATAGGCATCTGTGTGAAAGGTCCCATTGAACTCCACTAATTTCTAAGACAAAAAATGGCTCCTATGAAAGAGACCTAAGCTGACCGATCCCATGTGTCATCTTCCAGTTTCAATGTTAAAAACTAATAACCTGAGGTCTCAAGTTAGTAGTGATTCTTTGACTAATACTGTACTGACCTACAAGAGTGATAACATAAGCCAAAAGAGACTAAATTACCATTCACCAGAACACTACTCATATAATTTCAAGTCTTTTCAAAGAGATGGATCTATGTAAGTCCATTAACGCTTTAACCCATAAACTGCGACACACCTCACATGATGATACACACTAGACCAACATGCAATATACTGTATACAGTAATACAATTTTCAGGGCACTTATAAAATTCTGCAAAGAGTAACATATTTAAAACACGTTCCATGTCTCTATACACCTCTCACACCATCCATGCGGCACTCAGACCGTCGGTGCTGCCTCAGTGGACATGAAAGAGGTACGTTTGTCATAATCTCCCACTGTGCCCCTCACCAGCCCTAGTCACTCAGCCCACACACTCACTTAAAACACTTGAGCCATTACATGACAAGGGTAGCTATAGGGGTTAGTTTTATTTTTCATACTCCTGGAAACATATCTTTAATCTTGTAAGAATATAACAGTATCATATGCATTTTCAGAAAATTTTCTCATGTATTTTATGTACAGTGGTAGCCAGGTTATCTCATTGGTACAGCCTATGGATGAAATTACATACAGGTATCTATTGTAAAGACGCCAAAAAACAGTCGTGTCACTGAATTTCAATATAACATTTAGTTTCATACATAAATTGCATATTTGGCCATGGAGCAACCAACAACTAATTTTAATTACTCGAGATATAGTAAGAGTATTAGGCCATGACCTGCATGGGTTCTGGCTTCAATGAATCGACAAAAATTGAAAAATAAGAATGAATTTAGCAGAAACAAAACACTGAGCATTGAAAATAAAACTAATTGTGAAATATTACTGAAACACACAGAACATAAAATGTCTTAAACATATAACAGACTTGCTGCTTAGTAATACTCTGGAATAGGGGCACTGGTCAACCAAGAAATTTAGAAACTTTTTGTGTAGAGGATAACATATTTGTAAAAAAAAATTATGATTAGGAATTTTCATAATTTTGTTTATGTGTAGTTATATATAAATCCAACCGGTTCCCCTGATGCTAGTTGTGGCACTTGAACTGTTCACAAACACTTCCCCGTGACTGATCGAACAATAAGTGACTGAACTTTTCCCAACAACCTTTCCATATCTTACCTATCCTTCCTAACTTAGTCTAAAATAAGGTACTTTTATCCAAGGATCGATAGATTATATTTGTTTCATCTTATCTATGATTAATGATATGATGTAGGCTACGGTACTAATCCAGGATACTCCCCTAAAACCCAACTGCCGCAAAAAAATTTATAGAAGACGAGTTGTTTCTTACCTCAAGAATACCCAGAATCAGGTGGAGAACTGCCAACTTTCTTGAAAATTTGTTTTGGTTAGTTTTACTGGTTCATTATGAGCAAACGCCTGGTACGTTCCATCACCAGATGACACTATGTTTGTGCTTTATCTATTGACAATCACTTCCCACCAGCCAACCAATGCTAAGTGACGGAACATTTCCCAGTGACCTTTCCATACCTTACCACATTAAACCTACCTAAGCTAACCTAAATATTGTCCTGTGCTGTGCTGTACTTCCATCCTAGGGTATGTATGTTAGGTAAATTTAGTTGGTTCATCCTACCTACAACTAATCATACAATAAAATGTAAATACTGTACTGTAAGTCAATATGGTATCACCAGCAGCTAGCACATGGCCATTTATTTGTGTTCAGGACAAAAAAAATACTGTATGTCAAAGCAAAATTTTTTTTTTAATTCCTCTACCTTGTTTTAGATATTCTTGAGGTAAGAAGCCAATTTTCATCAATAGAAAATTTTTGTTATTAGTTCTTAGAGAAAAGTGTCCTAAAATATTTCCTAACGAAGCAGTCACTGGAAGTACAGTATATGTGTGTGTGTGTGTGTGAATCACTTGTCCGGCAAACAATTAGACATATCGTAGAAATACAGGTAGACACTGACTAGTGTTCTGGATAATTAAAGTCACCACAATAATAGTACGAATATTGCTAATCCTTCACTTTTTTTCTTTTTCTTAAGGTATAAAAGAAGTTATACTGTACCTGTATCTTCTATACTGAAAAATTCTGAAGTTCCTGGTTAATATCTCCCCTTGTTTCAGAGCACTCTACTGTATTACACATAACTGTATATAGTAAAACGTGATGAGTGGAACTGTGTCTACCAGGATATTTGTAGAAAATGACAATAACAGATTAAAATCAAGTGCTATGCAGTCCTTAACAATTACAATGAACAAACAAATCAATGGTTAAATCCTTGTAGTATTGTTCGGTGTTGACCTTTATGTGAGCAGTTATACTTTGTCCAAATGTATTTTAGCATTATTATTAAAATTAATTCTTATTGCAGACATGTGGTGGACGTTGGTAAAATGAATCTATACTTGGTATGAACTTAGAATTGCGTTAAGTTTCTATTATGTATGTGGCGTCCAATTTCGGGAAACAAGCCCACATTAAAAAACATACCCGTTACTTATATTTAAACAATACAGTCCCCATACTGGCAAACTTCGTCTTCAATTGAAAAAGAGCAACTTGCTATTCACTGCAACAGATGACAACAGAGGGCACAAATTATAATTCTAAAATATGTTTCCATAGTATAATGTGGGTTTGATTTCTAAAGTTGATATTTCCATTATTGTGATCGCTCCAAGAGTTCAGCTTACTATCAATCATGGCTGTAAGTGCATGGCATTAAACTATTTCTGAGATAAAAACAATCAAAGCTAACTAATATAACCTTCCAGTCATTGGTTAATTTTGGTTAGGTTAGGTTCACTTTTCACAAAATGGTTTAATGCCGTACGCCGACTCTCACACCTGTCGTGCGTCAACAAACTGGTCGTTGCTTTCCCGTACAGAAACTAAACACATGATTCTAAATTCAAATTCACTAATACTAATGTCTGTAACCTGCTTGTTCAATAACAAATAATGTTCTGGAAATCTGTAAAAACAAACTGAGAAAACAATATTGTAAGCATGGAAAGAAAAGGTAAATACTTGTAAAGGAAGAGTTCTGTTCACCTTCACAGGAAATAAGTGAAAACCTTTCCTCTAACCTTTAACAATTGTCATTTTCCTCATCCCCTTATCTTCACAAATAAGCATTAATACACAGGTAGTTGATTAAGGTATTTCTAACATTTTCTTAACAATTAAGTGTATGTGGTACTTAATATCCAACTAATAAGGCACAAATTACTTTCCAAGAGATGTAGCAAGTAATGAATGCCTGGTCCTCTTACTACCTGTAAAGTTATCTCAAGGCTCCATATGAAAAAACAACCTTTATGCCCAAGACCTTCAAAGACACATATAGCCTCAAGATCATACACGCTTCCACAACTTTCACTTCATCTCCATTCATATTATAACAAAAGAAAAATATCTACCTAAACCACCTGCATCCACAAGGATCGGTATTGGAGGAGGCGTATTACCATCATTGGCAGGATCCCCTTCTTGTTTGGGTTTCGTTGACATGACTGGAAATACAAGGCTGGAAGTCGGCTATGACAGCAGCTGTTACCCTGGCAATAGTATACTTAAATATACACACTCAAGTTCTTCTTTCACACCACAAAAGTCTACACTACACAAGAACCAAGAAAAGTGCGGGCATCGCAGAAATGTTGGCAAATAAAGTCACATAAACAACGGACACTGATGCAAAAATAGAAATATGGCGGTAGATTCCCGGATGACGAAAATTGGTAGGAGGAGCTCTAGTGGTGGAGGGTGGAATGACAGCCGCCCCGGGACCTTTGAAAACCTGCGCACATCTCTCCTCCCGCGCACCTCACGCATATCACCTTATTATTATATCTCTTACCTCAATTTTTCTCTCTTATTACCTCGAATTATAGAAATTTAATCCATTTGTTTTTTTAGTGTTGGTTACTTTTTTTAATGATATGAATGGAAGAGAAAGAAGCAAACCCTTGGCGACCAGGGAGTCGTGTCTGTTTATTCTTTTTTTTTCTTTTTTTCTTTTCTCTTTTTTTTTGGTTATTTTAACAAAACATCTCTCTCCGTCCTTTTATTAGTTAAATAGACTTACAGATAATATATGCGAAGAAAAAAGATAAACAGGACAGGGATGGAGGGGTGACCGAGTCCAAACATATTGACCTATTTTTCTTTGTTCGCGCTGTTTTGGTAATTTTTTAAACCCCAAACACCGCAGAATTTGTGTCTGCATATCAAAATATAGCATCATTATTCTTTCTAAATCAGAAAAAAAGTATATAGGTATCTTCGTGTGGAACTGGGTAATAATTTCAATTCAATTTCAATTTCAATTGTTTATTCCTTGATAGAGGAAGCGGGATCCTAGTGCTGTCACTAGGTACCCTGTACAATGACACCAGAAGCATCTGGCAAGTGTGACAAGTATATACAGTATAATTATTATAAAGGGGCTTACTAAAGCCTAAGGAAGGAAGGAAGGATATTCCTTTAACACATAATCAACATTATTTACATAATATCTGGCCAGTATGGGGAGGATCATCGTGTCTCCGTCAGGGGGTCGGGGAGTGGTGGTCCAGCAGGCGTCACGGAAGCGTTGTGTGTGGGGACATCTTAGGAGGTAGTGGATAAGGGTGTTGCTGTCGGGTCTTCTGCATAATGCACAAGAGCGTTGCTCAGGGGATGCGGGGATACCAATCTCCCAAGCAAAGTCATACCCAATGATGATACGGGCAGCAATCACGTCCCCTTTCCGGTATTATCTGAATTAATTACCACTAAACGTCTCGGATAACTTTCAGTAATGAACAATCAGTTGTAAGTAAAATATTATATGAAACACACTTACTCACCATAAAACTGAGTTTGAATATTATTACCTAACAATTTCACTGTGGTTGAAAGAGGTGGTTTGGACTACGCGTTGCACTACAAAATTGTTGACAACATACTGTAGAGATAGTAAGAAATATTATAAATTGTTACGTCAATAATTGTTAAGTATGATAGAGATTGATAATTATATCATATATTTATGAAATAATTAAGTTCCTCGTCGTTTTTGTTGTGTGTTTCTGAAGCTTAACCTTATATTATATGATAAGAAGAAAGTGTCAAATTTCCATTTATTTATGAGGCCACAACAGTACCACCGAATTCTTTGGGGGAATTAAAAAGAATTCTTTGGGTTTAATTCAGTGATGAAATTTGAGCATGTTTTTAACTTAGAAGCAATGAAGATTTGGAGGTTTGGCAATTAGTCAGGTAATAAATTCGATTTATTTTGTATACCTTATTGATTTATATGCTTCGAGGATTATGATAGTTTTACTAGATTATACAGTCAGTAGGTTATTGTCATCCAACGTTAGATATCTAGGAATAATCTTTCAAAGCACCATAATGATTATTTGTAGAAAAAGATAATTATTTGCCTACATAGGGAATAAACCCCCTTCGGTTCAGAGCGATGGTGGTAGTCTAATATTAACTTAAGTAACGGTAACCTAATAAAACCTTAACCTAATCTAATATAAACCTAACACAACCTTGACCAATCATAACATAAACTTTACCTCATATTTGCCTTAACTAAAAATATCATTAACTTGTCATTTAGCTAACTATAACATTAACAGAATATAAAGTTAATTCAATATAACCTTAAACAAACCTTATTTAGCATTCTGTGTAATATAACTTTAACAATATACCCTTAACCTAACATAACGTTAACTCTTTCATGGTATATAAGCAATGAAATAACAGAGTGAGCTTACAGTACACTTGTGCAATCATTTCCTTTTACCTTTAAAACTATTTCTTTGTTGTAAGTACTGCTTTTCTTCTGCACAATAATGTGTCATATTAGTTCTGTATAATTGTTTAGTGTTGTCCCGCGCCAGAATTTTATCTGCACCATGATTACCCAGAGTTAATTGGGTGGACGCCAACTACTACTACCACTACTTGCCCTGCCGGAGGATTGAATCCGGGTCACTTACGAAGCGAACATGCTGACCATTACACCAAAGGCTACCACCACCAGTTACATTTACCGTCACAACTTAATTTACATTTACCATCACCACTTAATTTACATTTACCATCACCACTCTAACTGAGCGTGACCACCTGTTCTCCTCAAACCTTAACGACGGGAATCAGTCTATTACAGCTGTACCCTTAAACTAAAGTTAGGTTAGTTTAGCAATTGTTAGGTCACAACAAAATTTATTAATTTATTTTACACCATTTTTTTTAAGAATGAGGGTCAATTTGTAGTAGAGCACATAATTCGATATTGTTTTTTCTTGTTTGTGAAGAAAGGTTCACACAAAAACAAGACTAATTTATCTGATACTTTTGGCGCAATTTATTCATAATCGATATCGGGAACCAAGACGCACGTATAAACTCTTGTGAACTGGAATGCGTCTAATTTATACAACTCTTTATAATAGATGATTAGAAATATTCTGTAAATCATTCTTGTTGTTTAAAGGCAAAGTAATAAACGCGACAGCTGCGTGTCGGCGTTACTTCAACACCAGTAATGTATTGACTGGTGATTACATGGATAAACCCAAGGATAAATACTGTTTATAGTCCTTGGATAAAACTAGGTGGTCGAGATAAGAAACACTGGTGATGCCTCTCTTATCTGAAGTAGCGATAAGGCCAGCAGCTAAACAAGAATCTCTCCATATTGACATAATGATGTCTCAAATTCTCAATCTGTTCACTAGGCAATTCCCTGTCAGTTAGATTGCCTATCGATATTA